TTCACAAGCTCAGGGCACACATTCATTAGACAAAACTTTTTTTCATTTCGGGTAGTAGCTGCGTGGAATGATCTTCTTCCGACGGTTGTACACGCTCCTTCTCGAACCCAATTTAAAGCACTATTAGACATTTATTTGTGCGAATCCTCGCGCTGGCGAGCATACTGCCCCGCGCTGAGAACATAAAGAGCAGTGCTACACCCTTTTTTCACTTGTGCCTTTCAGGTGAACGACAGCCACTGACCGATAAGAACAAAACCGACCCGGGAATCTTGGGCAAAAGCCTCGATCCTGTGTATCAATCCGTGAATCCGTGAATACGTGAAAAACACCTGGAATCTAAAGAGCAGTGCTACACTCATTTCTCGTTTCTGACTGAGGTGGACAACAACCGCTGAACGCAAGAACAAAATATACCCCGGGAACTTTCTCGAAAGCCTTGACCCTTTGTATCAATCCATGGTTCCGTGATCCGGGGCATTTTTGAACTCACATTGTGGACCTCATTGATTGAGCGGGCATTTCAAATGGGTATGCCTCGCCGGTTCACCCGATCGCTCGTGCTTTCCCGCTAGGATGCAAAGCGCTCCACGTGCTTTGGAAGAGAGAGTTGCTGAACTGACGAAGCTTTATAGTCCTGGGTCACTCTGCAGTGAGCCTGTTGTCAGCATAGAATATCTCCTTGATACCATCGTCTGCCTTGCCTATGAATGTCGACTCCCGCAGCTGAAGTCTGAGAGGAACTGTGCGAAGTTCCTCAATGCTGGTAATTGACTGTTATAAGCACCATTTCCCTTTAGTAAAAGAATGTGTTGCAAAAATTGAGAGCTGCTGGATTAATCGCAATGAATTCGAAACTATTCGTCTAATCGGATCCGGGGCTTTTGGCGAGGTCTCAGTGGTCAGATGGAAAGCTGATGGAGGTGTGTATGCCCTCAAGTCGCTACACAAGTTTGACATGTTGAAGCGGTCAGATGTAGGTCTGTAACTCGATCTTACTTTTTTTCCAGAGAGCATGTTTTCAGGAAGAACGGGACGTTATGGTCAAGGCGTTGGTGCATAAATCTCCGTGGATTGCGAAACTTCATCATGCTTTCCAAGACGACAAATTTCTGGTGCGTAGATTGAATTACTTCTGATTCTAATCGACCTTAGTATTTCCTCATGGATTTCTACAATGGGGGTGACATGCTCACCATGCTGAGCAAGTTCGACGATAGAATTCCTGAAAACATCGCGCGTTTCTATATTGCTGAAATGGTGCTAGCCATAAATGCACTGCATGATCTCGGGTACGTCCACCGGGATATCAAGCCAGACAATGTTCTGATAGAAAGGTGAGTTTCCCCACCTGATCATTTTCGCTTTTGGGTCTGTGTAGACGCGAACGTTAAAAAATAGGACTCAAGTTAACTAAAGTCACAAACATGAGCAAGTCGGCGATGTGGCGTTATCTCATCTCCCGTGCTTCCTGTTTATACGCCAGCCATATACCGAAATCCATCGTAAGAACCATCACTTGTTTTCATTGCCTTATGGTTATCGGATCGTTTTCTCGATCGCCGTACCCTCGAAATGCGCCTAAATGCCAGTGGTTAAACGTCCCGAGTCCACGAAGCCCACCAGAATCAGAATCATATATTTGGAGCTTTTCATTGCTGGTTATCGGATCGTTTTCTCGATCGCCGTACCCTCGAAATGCGCCTAAATGCCAGTGGTTAAACGTCCCGAGTCCACGAACGAAGCCAGAATCAGAATCATATATTTGGAGCAAAAGAAAAAATTCTGTGTACGCTCCGTCGAGAGAAAAAATGCGAATATCATTCCATATACGCCCTTGGTCCGCTAGTGGCATTGCTGACTTTCGGGACCAGAGCGGAGGAGATATCCTCACAGAAGCATAGATCAGATAAATGTTCATCCAAATTACGTTTGAAAATTTGGACTGTTTCTGACTGAACGACATTTGCCGGTAAACGATTCCAAAATGACACAACGCGGCGAGCGAAACAGTACCCATGAGGCACATTGTCCATGCGTGTGACAGTAAGTTTAAATCGATGTCTTCGCGTGATGTTGGTTGTTGGAATGTCAAACAAGAACATCAACTGCGGAAAATGGTTTAGACACAAAACACGGAAAACATAGATGAGATCAACCCGGAGACATCTGTATTCAAGTGTGAACAATTTCAGTTTGCTGCATCTCTCAGAATAAGAAAGACTCCGCAGGTTGGGAACCATCTTTGTAACGAGGTGTTGGACACGTTCGAGCTTTCGGGCTTCGTCTTTCGTAAGTGGGGAGAAAGCTGGTGCACCATATTCCAATATAGGCCGGATCATGGTGGGATACAGTTTTAAAACTAACTCTTCCGTCCACATCGAAAAACTTCGCTTCAATGCCCACAAAATGCGAAGAGACTTCTTATACACAGCGCTCGTGTGATCCTTCGACTTTAAATCATAACGGATTTGAACGCCCAAGTCTCGGATTGATGAGACCGATTTCAATTTTTGGCCATCTAGATGATATACACGATCTGAAGTTGGCTTTCCCAGGCATATGTATTCTGATTTGGCCGGGTTGATCGGAAGCCTCCTTTCAGAGGACCAGGCCACCAGACGTTCTAAGTCATGCTGAAGAGCCACTCGGTCTTCGTCACACTCAATAGGTTTCCATATCTTAAGATCATCAGCGAATAACAGACTTGCCGACTGTAGGACCACTGGTAGATCATTCACATGTAGTAGAAACAGAACTGGACCCAAAACCGTTCCCTGAGGTACGCCACTAGGTGACGTATACCAGTCTGTACAGTGGTCGTTTACTCTCACCTTCCAGCGTCGGTCATGCAGGAACGATTTCAGCCAACGAAGTAAATCCCCTCCTATGCCGTAGCCCTGTAGTTTTTTTATCAGTTCAGTGTGGTCTACCCTATCGAACGCCTTACTAAAGTCCACGAATATAACATCAACAGCATGCCCAGCGTCAACAGCGGCTAACCAGTGATGACGAGCAGTGAGCATGTTGGTCACACAAGAACGGCCGCGAAGAAAACCGTGTTGTGCCGGCTTAAGAATTTGAAATTCATCCAGCATATGCAACAGAGCCTGCTTCACGATCTTTTCCAGAACCTTAGCGAGTATGGGAGTAAGGCAGATTGGACGGTAATTTGTGACTCGAGAAAGATCTCCGCCTTTGGGGAACTGCCGAACAACTGAGTCTTCCCATTCTTGAGGCAGCACGCATTCTGCAAGGGATTTATTGTATAGAGTCGTGACTGCAGGTGCAATGACTGGTGCTAATGTCTTCAAAATTACGGGATGGAGATCATCAGGACCAGCGAACTTTGCCGTATTGAGCGACAGAAGCAGAGAACGCACCTTTTCGGTGCAACACACCAACAAATCCAATCTAACCGCGCAGGAACCAGTATGTCTCTTGAGGGGTTTGTGGCATATACAGAAGAAAAGTGGCTGGCAAACTCAGTGGCCCTCGCGGAGTCTGAGGTGATGATATTGCCATCTTGATCTTGGAAAGTTTTATTCGGAAAGTTTTATTGACATGTGTTATGAGCTGAGTGCCAGTCCTTTGAACTCATGTTGAGACTAGTTTTTGGCGATAAGAATAAGTGCACAATAATGGAAACGCCGGATACTACCCCGCAGAATGTGATGAACACCTGATGAATTCAGTAAAAGTGCTCCGAACTGAAAATATCTATAAAAACCGACGGGGTTGTAAACTACAGCTGTCTGACATCGAGAAAGGTAGTACAACAGTCCTTGATTGTTGATCTCATCGGACTTAGCGTAGCACCCTGCGGCTATCTGCGCAAAACAGTAAGGTACTCAGGGTCAGGCAATGCAGAATACTGAAAACAGTGCTGGCAGCATGATTATAGGCTTCTGACGTGACGATCGTATTCGACAACTTGAATGCCAGCAATACACCTGTGCTGTTTGGCCTACATTTGTTTGTGTTTAGCAGGCTAACACTCACACCAGCACATCAAGTATCGCATGTTTCCAGCTAATGAACATGAACAGGCGTTTTGGTGCAGGGTTCATCAGATCCTTGTAGAAAGATAATTGCAACGCATCAGCGACTACTGAAGAAGCTCCTTCATCTTTGTGGCCATGAAGATGTTTGAAAGAATTATCATGAATGCTCCACTCAACTACATCCAAACCAATAACGTGTTGCGTCCAGCCCAGCATGTGCTCACCAGCGGGTGTTCGTGATGCTAACACGTTCAGCTGTAACACCCTTTTTATCCGAAGGAAGCACAAAGGCTGGGATTCTGCCAGGTTGTCAAACCTGTGTTCTAACTACGGACCTTCCGGTCAGTAATGTTGCTCTATAAACACGGGTATCTCGACCCGCTATATTGCTAGGGCGTATTCGTAAATAGGCCAGATGAGTTACTGCATGATTTAGTGTAGGCCTCTGTTAGGAATGTTGGTGAGTCAGTGATAACGAAGAGTTTCCGCAACAACTGTCCCCGTCGGTCGAGGTACCACAATTCGCCGTCCTGGGTCCATGGTCGTGTATACTCGTACGGGCTGTTTTTTTACGGCTGAGACGTGGCCCCAGAGCAACGGAACTCAGACGTATTATGTTCTTCGACCACCGTTTTCTCGGAACCACAGCTAGTGTATGCTTGGGTCGGCGAATCCGCTACAAGACAATCAGAGGACAAGTATTCGGTTGTGCAATGGGGACTTTAACAGCCTGATACAGCAAACTCAGTTGCTTGAAAACTGTTATATCCTCTTGATAGTGTATCAGCCAGACTCGTTTGTTCACTGGAATGGAAGTTATACCGTCAACAAGTGGATCGTTCCGTCATATGGAACTCAAGTGAACCAGGATACAAAAAGAGCTAACAGTCTAATAGGATGTCAGTCAGATGCTGAAACGAAGAAGCAGAATGAGCGTAAGCGAGATCCAGCTTTGTGAAACGTTTTCCACCGATGAGCATGGTGAACAGGTCTTCTAGTGCCGGTAACGGATATTGGTGGGTGTTTAACAGAGCGTTCAATCCAGTGGAATAATATGTACACCTTGTCATTCGTCTTTTTCATGACAACGTAGGAGCAGCCCATGCTCAACAGTTTACTGACTGGATAACTCCGGGTTACTGGAGACAAACAAGTTCATTCTCCATAGTTGCGAGAGCGACAAATGTCATGGGCGCTTCGGTTTAAAAATTGGTGTGGAATCAGGTTGGAGTTTGAGGCTCGCCTTGGTTTTGGTACAGCATCCAAGGCCACATCTGAAGACGTCGAATTTTGTCTTGAGTGTGTTAGTACGGTGGTCTGAAATGTCTGAGTAGGATAAAAATTCCGGAGCACTGCACACAGGTGATAATAGTACATTGGAAAGATCAAGTTTCTCAATCCAATCAAGTCCAAGAATGCTCAAATTAGGACAATCAATGAGATAACAAGTCCCTTAGAAATGCAGATCGTTAAGTAATACATTACAAGCTAACTTGTCCGTCATTAGTAGGGTAATGCTAGATGCGCGTTGGGCCCGATGATTCATGATTAACACAAAGGTTTTTCCTATCAACTCTCAACTGGATCGTGAGACCAGTGTAGTATCTGAAGCTGTGTCGAGCTGCAGACGGGTTGGAATTTTGTTGAAAACTAAGGTATTTCATTCGGGACTCAAATTCAACTCGGAATGTTGCAGACATACATCTGGACTGCGGACGTTTCTTGTGCGACTGCTTTTTGACTGTGCTGCTGATCGGACTGTCGAAGCTTTTTTGGTTTTTGGGTACCTCAGAAACCTTCTTTGTGGCCCTACCGATGACACTTTTGGCCTTGGTGCTTCTTGAATGGACAGAAACATGCATGATGCCACTGGCCACTGGATCAGCACAATGTTGATGTTTTTTATCACGTGTAACAGTCGTTCGTTTTGATGCCACGACACCACTGGGATTAGTAGGTCGTGACGTCTGCGGTACCATTACAGTATCGTGTTTTAGATTACGCAAGCGTTGCTATTCGGTGGTGAGTTCTTTCATGGTAATATCATTCCCGTGCTCAAGCTGGAAAGCAATCGAGCGCGAATATCAGAGTCTTGCGGAAACTGAAGACCAGCAACGAAAATAAGACTTGGACTGATCTTTTGTAAGTGACCACAATTGAGATTTTTCACACTCACGGTTGATGGCACCGGTAAAAGTGACGTATTCATCGGCATAGCGCTTGGCCAATTTGAGGCAGTTGTATCGAAAGTGTAAAAGTGAATGCTGCTCACCAAAAAGTTCACGGAGTTGTTCCATTGTTTGTGCAGTGTTTATCTCCTTTGGATGTTTGGGGAGAATGAAGTTCGTGTACCGGTCGTACTCGAGGGTTCCAAGTTTCCGGACCAAGAGACGGGATTTCCGCGCATCATTCTTTTCGGTATATTCATTCTGGAAAGTATCTTCCCAGCGACTGTATCATGAATCGAATGTTAGACCAGATGCTGGTTCTTAGGGAAATTCGGTAATAGTTGCTGCGATAGAATCGGCGAAGGATAATGAAGCGCCACTTTGAGATGGAACTGAGGTCTGAAGACTTCCAACTTGAATGAGAGACTGAATAAGTCGCCATTGCGGTCGTTCGAACTGCGCTTGTTGCTGTTTAAGGACTGCTTTCAAATCATCAGCTGAAGTTGACACGTCTGTGTTCGCGATGAGTTCCCGTTGCCAGTGTTATATCCTCTTGATAATGTGTCAATCAGTTCCGTTAGTTCCCGGGATGGAGAAGACAAGCAACTTCGGGGAAGTTATACTGCAAACAAGTGGATTGTTCGGTGATATGGAGTTCAACTGAACCAGAATATAAAAAGAGCTAACCGTCCAACAGGATGTCAGTGAGAGGCTAAAATGTAGAGACAAGGTTTCAGTGTAGAAGTCAAATCGTTAGCAAAGTGGGTTTGTTCGTTTGGAGGTGATCCTCCCAACAAAATCCTCACAAACGAGAGATTCAGCTGGGTTCCAGGTGAGTCTCTCACAAATGAGTCTCTCTCGCAAGTGAGAACATAAGGCTGACGGAAACTCGAGGGCTGCGCCTACCGGATGAGCCCCAAGAAGGGTGAAACCGGTCCTGGGCTGTCGAAAAATTTTCAGCAATTCCATGAGGAGCATGAGTGCTTCTATCATCACCACCATCTATTGATGAGCACCATCTATTGATGATCTGGTCTGAATCATGCTGAATATGCCTGAGCGTGTTTTTCTGGTCTTAACGTATTTTTGGACATTTTCTACATAACAAAGATATGACCTTCAATGCGTAGCTATCCAGTCCTCGAACTAACTAAACATGCCATCTCAAACACTTTCGGGTAATCGAAACTGTACCAGAAGGAGCCAGTGTCCCTATGTTACACGGTTTATAGCTGATAACTTGATTGGTTGATTGATTGCCCTGCGTTCCTCACGTCCCAACTTGTGTAACTAGTTTTGAATCGGGCTACCTTCGACCCCGCATGTGTTTTCCTTCTGAGGATCGTGATGATGACTGATGATGACGACTGAGGATCGTGAATTTCAGAGTGCGGTCCGACCAAGATGGGCACACAATCCGGGTAAGATTGATTAAGAGTTCGGATTTCACGCTGGTATATCGTCCACTTATAAGCGTAGATAATGCGATAGAATGATGCATTACGCTTTTTGCGTTTGATCGCAGCTAATGTCTACTCCCGGCACGCTTTTTACTATTTGTTCGAGAGATTTTGGTGTATCCCAGGGGCATGTTAATAGAGGACTAACATTCATGAAATATTTATATTCAAGTCAACCGCATGCAGCAGGCACGAATAATTTGTTAGACTTCAAATCTGCTTAAGAAAGGACCAACAGAAAACGATCGTCAGCAAAAAGCTAAATATGAGCTTCCGGTTTTTTGAATTCATCTTGCTAGGGAAAGTGTGATTCACTAGGCAGCCATCCGGACAATGGTGAATAACCACACAAACTGAATTTTGGGCCGGGTTAAAAATTGTGCTGAGAACAGGGAATCTTAGCAGTATATTAGTTGGCAGATGTCGTATTCTGGCTCAGATGAGCATTTCTGTTCCGTGTGTATGTCGGTAAGTATCTATTCTACAGTTTGAATTTTCTGTTCTTATAGGGTTAGGATATTGTGCTCTAGCGGAATATGTTCGAAAGTGGTGCTCTCGGCTATAGCGCATTTCCGTGTTCCAGTCAAAAACTTCCTAATCTCAACTGAACGTTTGCATTCTCAGAATATAGAAGTAGGTGTCTTGACTATTCTAATCATCTCAGTGTACTAGGGGCGATATGCTCATTTCATCTGAACAAGGTAAGATGTTTGGTGTTTGTTAGTGCTTCAAATGCTCCTAATCATGAAAGCCTTTTTCTCCGACTAACTACAGTCGTCTCCGGGGTCGAATTCCCGTCCTACCTGATATGGTGAGTTTTCAGTGGTAGGACCCGCTTAGTGGTGCCCATGTCTGATTCTTCTGGCGACTTGCAGTTGGCCAATGTCAGGCCAAGAAGGTCCGTTTGATTATACTGTTAAACCAAACGATTGCATGAGCCCGGGAACCTTTTGATTTAGCGTTAGTCGCAACTAGTTGATATTGAGATCTGGTTATAACTAAAGTGTGGTAAGATACTTATGTTTGAAGCTTTTTGGTGCAATCATATCAAGCTTCGGTTTTGCATTTCATCCTCTGTGATCACAACCGATCTCTCATCAGATTCAGGAGGATGGGCGTTTTACACGTATATCTCAGGTCGTTGACTGAAGTCAAATTGACTCGGGATCCATACAAGTGATGGAGTCACGAGCTTCGTTGTACGCTGGATGAAAGTAGGCCGCCTGATTCTAGTTCTGAAAAGAGTTGTTTATCGAGTGACATGGGGCAACATGGGGTTTTATTATCCAGCACAAGTCCTTTCAACCAAACGGGCGGTTTTATTGAATGCGACTTTTGGATTGTGACTGTCGATCTGTTCACTCATTAGACAACCTTTGTATGAGTAATCAATAGCGCTTCGCTCATCCTTTTTGTTCCCTGTTTATCGTTTGCTTCTATTTGATGTTTGACCGGCTTCCTGAATGTGTCGAATCGCCACTTTTTATTTTGCCTTCACTTATTTCCGTGTGGTTATTTTCCGGTTGTATTCAGACAACCATACTTCCCAAATTTATTTTGGTTAGTCAGTGTGTTTGCAAGAGTCATCCAGTGATTATTTGTTCTTTCAAATCACTGTACTGCTCGCTGATCAACCTATGCGTGATTGTCTTATTCACAGTTACAGACATTTTTTCCCGGAAACACGATTATAAATCCGGTCGTATGCAACCAGTATCTTCAGACATATCTTTCTCAGTAACTGGTATACTTGCTCAACTTCACTGAAATATACGTCAATGACTCTTTTTTAAAGCTCTGGTCATGTTGTCCTGGCCGATTTCGGTTCGTGTCTCAAGCTGGGAGCCAATGGGTTGGTTCAAAACAATACAGCCGTGGGTACTCCGGACTACATTTCTCCAGAGATACTACGCGCTACAGAAGACGGGCATGGCACCTATGGTGTGGAGTGTGATTTTTGGTCTCTGGGTGTTGTCATTCATGAACTACTATTTGGAGAGACACCTTTTTACAGTGAAAATCTCGTTGAAACCTATAGTCAGATCATGAATTTTGAGGTGAGTGAATAATTTTCCTTTCGAGGTATGATATTTTCTGACTACTTACCCACTTGTCCATCCATGACTTAAGTTGTTCTTCACTCCATGTTTAATTTGAATGGTTGTTTTGGGAGTACTAAATTTGAATTGGCATTCCTTGTTTGATGACCTTGCGGTATTATCGTACGTTGCGCTCTTCGTCTTGAGGTGACTTTCCAGGTGTAGCACCGCTGTTCAGCACTGGTGTTTCCACCAATGATCATGCTTTTATCTCCTGGTAAACCTTGGTCAGACCATATTAATCATGCCAGGCTCCATCAGTTACCTGTTTCTTTGTGCGCACACCACAACACAAAACCAGTTGCGTTCGGGTGGAGTGAGTAGCTGAATTGATCTTTTCATATGTAAACTAGCGGCGTGAACTTTCGCATTCACAGGCTGTCATTAATTCCTAACATTCTTTCAGGGATCTGTCATAATTTTACTGCGACATGGAAGTTGAGGAAAACGTTGTTTGACACGGATTCGGTTTTAGGAGATACTACCTTGTTACTTGTCAGCAGGTGTCACCAAATTTATTTCACAATATCCGATTGACTCTGACTTACACCAGACAGGGAACACTGGTGTTACCTGAAAGTTGTGTTTTGAAGTAGTCTTATCTCAACTCAGGTGTTTATTTCCCCTTCGTGTGTCCCCGGTGAGGTATAACATCGTTGGCTTCCATCTTCTCTGTACTTACACTCAAGAGCGGTGCCTGATAAAGCCTGTTTCGGCTGTTGTTTTTGCCACTTTAGCAGCACTAATCACAATAACACAGTAAAAACTGCGTTTGTCCCTTTTGCTTTTATGCGAACCAGGAGCACTTCCATATGCCAGATGACTGTCCTGACGTATCGGAAAACGCTCGTGACCTTATTCGGCGTCTCATTTGTGACCGAAAACGAAGACTTGGTCGGGGTGGTCCTCACGAATTCAAAGAGCATCCATTCTTCAACGAGATTCGCTGGGATACGATTCGTCAGGGTGAGTGTTCCTTTATTTCCTGTTTTCATTGACTATTCATCCACTTGGTGGACCCCATTTACTCATTACTTCGTCTTAGTGCCCTTGATTTTAATGATGCGCTTCCGATAATTCATGGATTACGTGCCACATTTATGTGATTGTGATACTCAGACGACACGCTACACTGCTTGAACATTTGTTCAGGTTTTTAGGGCTTTTAATTATCTGACTGAGTATTGCATCTCAACCATATATGTGTACTCGATTATTAGTATCGTCAGATCGGATTCGCTTTGACTGTCTGTGACTGACTCTGTTAACACGTGCCCAACAGTCCATGTTCATTTGAGAACGGTTTACCTGCATTGATATCTTTTTAAACACTGTTGTTGGATGTACTAAATCTCAGTTAGGACTAGTCATCAGCGTTGGTAGTTGGTGATCCTCTCCAGCTGATTTTGACATGTTTCCAATTGCGTAGTAGATATCAGTTCAATCTTCAATTTTTAGTAGTGTCAAAAGCTGTGGTGTGTGGCATATCGGTGTGACCGAGGATAGGCTCCTCAGAACAGTTATATTGAGTTAGATATCTGTCAGAGTCTGTGACGTATAATCGGAAACGTAAGTAGGCTTACAACTTCATTGAGTCTTTCATATTCATCTGTTTACATATTGAGTTTAAAACCGTCATCTCCAGTGTAGTTTTTTTGCCTTATCATCAGCAATAAGTAGTGTTGTGATTGATACAGACATTCGTGTGTGCACCACTCGGCTGCTCAACCGTTTCACCTGGACTGATGCTGTTTACCGGGTTTGCGTCTACATCGGAATAAATTTTATAGATATGCGACCTTTATTGTGTACGTAACGGAGTACAATAGAGTGGGGAACCCGTACTCGAGATCAGATATAGTGAAAAAGCGTTTTGGATACGGAAAATGGATGATCACATTATACAGAACAAAGCCGTAGCATGCATTTACTCGGTTAAAGTTGCGCGGTCCTGTGGAGGATTCTGTGTGGCCTTGGGGAGATTTTTACCTGATGTGACTGATTGAAACTGAAGAGATGAGTTTCACGCGTGCGTGCTTTGGGAACTGTAACGTGATACGCTAATTAACGAGTCATCTTATGATCGAGTGAAGCTTTCCGGTACGCTATATCGAGCATCCATAATTCTTACAGTTGTGTCCAATAGGTCCATCGCCGCTGTTCGTTTCCTTGCCCCCCCTGGTGTCTTTTTCCGTGCAAGAGCCTAATAATTCACTCATGAACTGGCTGAAGCCTTTTGATGGTAATTGATGGGGAAGCACGTTTCTAACTATGACTTTATCCATAGTACGGCAGTCACCCAAATACATGAGAATCGTTGTTTCCATTTGGCATCCTTCGCCTTTGGGGTCGTCGAAATCGGTGTGCTGTCGGTCTTCTGCAATTCAGTTGCAGGGGCTCAATTTGTTTTGGACTTACTTAATTTAAGAAATATTTAAAAATGATATTCACGCAATTTCGTGGCCATTGACCATAAATTTCGGTGGCAAGGCTTACGACAAGAAATATCGCACCTCATAAAAGTTAGGAAACACATTATTTCCGGAGCAAAAGAGATTTGGCCGAATTCAGGTGCTGCCTATCCTGTTCAGCGGCGTCTGACCGTTAATAGAGAAGTTCATACCAGATCTCGGTTCGCAGCCTACTCCGGAACGATAGAGTAAATATGCCTCAGGAAAGTTGACTGCACGCTGGACTTGATAATCGAGTCATTTCATTTCATGCTGACCGTCCGGTTAAATGCGGCAGCGGAATTGGTGGTATCGCCGGGAAAGTTAATAAAAAAATGGTAATATGGAAGAAAATATCGTTTCGAATTTCTTCCGGTGGATTAAGCTGCAGATCTTTTTAACCTCATTTACCCTCTGAAACCGATGTATATCCAACCTAACAGATTTTCTTTCCCGGAGAAAAAAAGAGCATTCAAAATTTGGTGAGGCCCGGATAGTAAACAGCTAGTGAGTCAGATGAAAACAGAAATTCATCAAAGTTAGTGTCGACACCTTTTCTGACATTTGGAGAGAGCTCTCTTGGTTCACTTACCTTAGACACACTAATACACACGCAATCTCAATCATGAATTCAGCGATCCGGCAGGTCAGTCAGCAGTTTTGAGTTTTGGCTTAACACGCCGGGGAGAATTTCTCATAAAGTTAACAACAACCAATTACCACAGATGATGCTAGTACCTGGGTACAGCAAGTCAGTCTGTCGCCAGTCTCTGGTTAGTCTGTCTATAGATCATTAGGTTGGGCAGAGTAGGCTTGCAGGAGTGATATTTGAGAACTGCTTGATGTGAGCGGATTCGTATAATAGATATCGCTGATTGTGATTAAATAGGCATTCACTGACGTACCGAGTGAGAGGTTTATACATCTGCCTTACTTGTGCTGGGCCGACTTATCTGCTCCATACTAATGAAGACGATGGGCGAGATGACTCAGTGGTTAGAGCACGAATTTACTGGCCGTGTTTCGAACCCGACCTCTGCATCTCGAATTCTCCTGTCTAGGCTTGGGCAACCTGGCAGTATCTCAGCCCTCGTGCTTCCTTCAGGTTGCATTGCAGTTAGTGCTAAAGCTGAACGATTATTATTATTATTATTATTATTATTATTATTATTATTAATGAAGTAGACGTGACGTTCATTCTGTTCCTATCATCTTGCGTAAGTGCGTTTGTGGTTACAAACGACTTCCGTCACTTAGGTGTCCCGCTTCTTCATACGATGCGAACACTCCTGATTTGCATTCGTTATGCGTTCCAAGAAAAGTCTGTTTTCGCAACCATTCGCGAAATTTTTTGTGGCTCTTCCCTTTGCAGTCGTAAGCTGTGATGGTTTTTATTCATACTGCCTTTAATTTTTCATCACATCCACGAACAACTCATTTTGGAATCCGTGTCATGTTGTTCAGCTGAACTACCCGGATGGTTGGTGTTTTTCGCAAGTGAACTGTTTTTAATGCCACATAATTTTCTGCTGATGTTTGAAATGCTTGACGCATTCGGAATTTTTTATGATTACTCCTTTGATTTGCATAACTCAAACATCCTCTCACCTTGAGCTACCATATAAGCCTGCATGTTTTAGCTGAATTCCATGGGTCTTCGGAATTCCACCCCCCATATATACCTGAAGTTCGGTGCCCGGAGGATACATCGAATTTCGACATTGCCCAAACTCCACGCACTCATGTACGTTTTGTTTGGTCGATTATATTACTCGTTTATTTTTCTGATCGGATAGTTTTAGTACTGTGGGGGAAAACTCCGGTTACTCCTTAGACGAACACTGTGTTGTGGAGTATCATACGTTTGTGATATAATAGGTTTCCGGATTACCATCCAACGTTTGATCAGACGTGCATCTCCTGCTCCTGCATGCCGAAACACTAAGCGTAGGGTAACTAAGTTACCGACAGCTCCTACCAGCTGAACGTGCCAGTTGTGTACTGAAAGGACAACAAAGTTCAAAATAAAATGCTGTGTTCTGCTAACCGCATAATGTTCAATTTTTCTTCAGCATGGAGAAAATACGGTTGTTATGGGACCAATTTTCGTCAGAGTGTTAGCCAGAGATCTGTTCGGCATTTTTACGGGTCGCTAGGTTTGTGCTTATCTTTCTATGATTCACGTCGTTTAGTGATGGCCGATCAGTGTTTCACGGTATACATTCTGTACAACGGTCCAACAGTATGGAACTAAATTTATTTCGTCAAAATTGTGTCAGCTGTTAGACTATGGGTATGGGTATTCTAAGAGGAAGTGGTCATGGTTTGGCATGCTTTGCAGTTCAACCCATGAATGCTGCTTGATTCATTCCACCCTATTGGTCCCCGACATCCCTTCACTTACTAATCCTTTTATAGTTCAGGTGTCTTCGTGTTCCCTCTGATGAACCTGCGAAATGTGCACGGTTGTGGTTCTAACCGCATTCCTTCTTCCGTTTGTCCACTTCGTTAACACGTTTTGTGGATTATTCACGGGATGATATCCCTTTTTCACTCTCCTTATCTGCTGAACGTAAATCACGCAGCATCAGTGGTAAATTGAAACGAACGGAGTCAACGGCAAACTAAGGCTATGCACGCGGACACCTATAGACCTTTAGGGGTGTACGGCAAGTCTCAGCTTGACTTCCCTACATTTATTACTAAAACCAGTCTTTCCACTCATTTTTCACGTCTTCATTGCCTGGTGATGGAAAGTTCTAGCCTTTAATGCCGATTCACGCATCCAGTGGCGTGCATTCATGGAAGCCCTCTATCTCGACAACTTTGATTCTTCATTCATGAAGAAAACGGAATCAAGGATCGTGATTCAGGAGTGCATGTTGTTTCGCGACATAAACTACATTGCCAATAATGACCCGAATTGCATGAACGCAAGTCCAACCCACATCAATATGCATATCAATAGTTAGGTGGATGGTGTAGACATCTCACTCTGACGAGTTGCTCTCGTGCGTAGAAGTTTTGTGTGCTCATCCTTATGATATAAATGTCATATAGTTTTCATATTTTCCGTGTTCCACTTCAAATCCCTAAGTAACAATCAGTCTTTCCGTAGCTTGACAAACACATGCGCTCATTTGCGATATTGTCTTTTATGAATACATTTGTCATGGTAAGTTTTATTGTTTCCGAACGAGAATGTGCTGTTACCTCTTGCACTACGTCGAATTTGCGCCTGCTCACAATGTGCCGCGAATAGGTTTTGGTCAGTAGATATATTCGCCTACCGGTTAGGGACTATCTTTGCCGCTTGTGGCTGTGCTTTTCCATACTGTTGGTTGCATTCTCTTCGATCAACCTGTCGTGTTTCAGCGTTTTGGCTGCCTTCATTAGTCGTGGTTTTATGCAGAACTGTTTGTTTATCTCATTGAGGACATTCTTACGATAAGATCTCCGCCAGGCGAAGACTGATGATCACATGCATCGCCTGATCAAACGGCCGCGTACCAGATGAGGGATGAAAGCAGCGGCTGTCACATATTGCAGAGAACTTGGCAAATCAGGTCCCTCTCACATTTTACTGTAATACGTTTGCACACAGGTACGACCAGTACTTTCCGAGTGCTCGTGCCCATGTATCACGAGTGGTCTTAATATTTAATGTATTTCAGCCTAGAGCACTCGCTTCCAAAGTCGCCGCTTTATATTTCAGTCGTCACCATCGCTCCCAACCACCATGTTTCGATAGCATCTGCGGACTCATTGTCTTTGGTTTATGCATAAAAAAGATTTAGATTTGTGTTTCAGACATGAGCCTCTTCGGAGACAAGCATCTTCAATGCAGTCTTCCGTTCTTAGTGCAGCACGTGATGTTCAAGACCTTGACGACTTTCACCACCTGACTGCAAGTCGGTTTTCATCACCAAAAGGTCGATGTTTGTACTACAGTCTCGGCGTTTGTTCGAGGAACGGCTTTGTGCTGTCAGCCTTGCCGTCCAACAACTTTATTTTCCCTACTTTGTCTCGAAACTGAATCATCTACTTTCTTGCGGTTCACTGTTGAATGATCGGCCAACAACTAATTTTGCTTGTTTGACAAGCAACTAGGCAATTTGAAGTACCTGTTTTTCCTGATTTTCATCTCACCCTATCCACTCAAGGCATTTCGATTTCTAACATTATCGTTCTTTCGATAAATAAACTCATTTGCAAATCAATCTGGTCTTCACAGGAGACTCAACGTAATTTCTCGTTTGTGGTTTTCTTCAACTGAATATGCTTCACAAAGGCGCCTCATGTTTCGGTTGATACGGTATTCGAAATATCGCAGTATATTTTCATGAAGGAAACCACTCGCAAGGTTGCTGAAAACTCTTCGGTATTCGATGACCGGTTTCGCCCTTCTTGGGACTCATCAGGTAGGCGCAGTTCCCGAATTTCCGTCAACCTTGTCATTCTTAAACCCTAATTGGTTTACAAATGAGTGTATTTGTCGCACTCACTCCAACTTGGGTTCACATAGAACAGGAGGTTGACGGAAACTCGGGGAGTGTGCCTACCTGGTGAGCCCCAAGGAGGGCGAAGCCGGTCGTTAACAACCTTGTGAGTGTCAAAACCGAAACGTTGCCCAGCAATAAATCTACCGATTGTCACCAAACTTTTTCGAAAACCTTGTGAGTAGTTTGTTTTATGAAAATTACCGTTCTTTGTGGGACTTATGGTCTGTTTACGCGCGAAATCTGAAGTTAGCGTGAAATCTACGCATCTGAGGTTACGCAGTCTCCAATATTGGTCAATAAAAGATGGCGTTTTTGCACAAGAGGTTTTACTGAAGTTTCGCCCTCAAACTTTAATATACGCATATGCGTCCAGTGTTATCCGGGGGCTTGTGTGCACGACATACAGTTATATGTTTTATACTTTTTTGTGTGGATTTTTATACAATCGGTGATCCCGTCACGTAAGCAGTACCAATCAAGGCCTGTCACCTTTGACTTGACAAAGGTATATGAAATAGATTATGAAAAGTCTGGGTGTTGTAGGCCTGAATCGTCTTCCAGGATGGGGATTGTGTGATCCACACTTCTTCTAGTTGCAGATGTGAGATGTGGCTGCTATTCGATGTCGGTGATGTTGTCGTCAATTTCTATCCAAATGGCCTGAATGAATTTCTGAATGTGTACGCACCGCGTGATTTAGCATCACTGAACAACAGTTTCAGTATTGATATCAATGGATTTCATGCGATCTATTCATTTAACTCTGCTGAATGTGGTCTTCTCATGTTTTGTGTTTTAATCGTGGATTACTCCGGACTACTTACTAAATATCCCTAACCGTAAGATGCGGATTAAGTATTCTTTCGCATCTTTTTCCCAAGGAACTTTTCATTCTAGTTCTTTTCGGGTGTCATCACGTCGCTGTGCTTTCCAGAAACCCATTTGGAGGAACTGGTCAGGAATTCTTCCACCAAATCTTCCGATTACGAATTTCTTTGCCGATGTATGTCACAACATCCATACATCAGGGATTGGTGTATTCACCCGGGAGGAGAGATGTTCACATCTCTATTCCGTTACTAGTCACGATAGCATTGGCTGATCCATTAACATGGCGCATGCGAAGTGCAGCTTAAGGGTGTAGGTACTAACTGGATCCCCAGAGTGGCCTTAGTTGAGTTTCTTACCCTAAGACAATGCTGTTTTATTCACCTATCATTGGGCAATAGGTTGTACGTAACGATTGTTTTTCAATCATCGATATTATTCTATTGGGTGTATACTGGATTCGTGTATCTGACTTATTCTACACCCATCTCATCGCAAAACGCTTTTGATTTCGCACCTCTCAGTGGGAGTCCAGCGGTATGCATCGCTGCTGTTGCACGTCTGAAATCGGACACCAGCAAACAAGGAATTTATATCCACTCTGGTCTAACCTGTTCAAACACAGAACCTTGTAGCTAACTTTTCCATTTTCTTTTCAGGAAGGCCCTCCCCTCGGTCCGATGTTTCGTGGATGTCAAGTTGCCTGTATTGGATTTACCTTTACGAACGGTTCGCCACTAAATGAGTTGGCTTTTACTGGTCCACTCGATACTGCCCAGTCAACAATGGATTCCAAAATGACAACCTCAACTAGACCAGATTTCGTTGAATCAGAGGAATCTACCGAGAAACCGGCGGTGCAGTCTACAATTGATATCAAGCATTCCAAAAGACTTGAATCACAGTTACAGTTAGTGGAGCAACTGCGGTCACAGTGCCGGGAGTATGAAGTGGGTTTTTATGATTTACCTGTGACCCATTTGAGAGTAAATCTACGGAAAAATTGTCAGCTGATTTCGAGTACATGTTGCGTGCCTATAGCATTCTGTCAAATGAAAATCACCCTAATGCTAACGGAATATTGTACATCAGCCTTAGGAATAGACAGTATCGGCTTGTGAACGCTGCAAAACCATCTGGTGCGTGACGTTGGAAAAAGTTGGAATGGTGTGAATTATATGTACAAGGAATTCCTAACTAAATAGCTTCTGAGTAACTCGTTAGTGGTCAGCACTTTCTCAAAGCTGTAGTATCGACAGATCAACAAGATGGAAATCGTTTTCAAACAAATGTGGCCAAACCAACGAGGGAACACTGATGTGACTCAATATCCGTAGTGCGTAATCCAGTAGCAATACCGTGGTTGTCCGAGTACTCTCCTCAGCAGTATTCCAAGTGGAGCTCTCCCTGCTTCCGCGCTTTGCTAAGTTGGTTGAGTTGAGGTTGAAGACCTTTTACAACCAGCCCACCCTGCTTGTTGGTTTTCAAGTAAACATTAAGGGTATACAGATAGCCACTCAAGATGGCTGACTTGGAAGGCCAATCAGAAAAACAACTGATGTTCCGGACGCTTACCACCATGTAACTGTCGTGATAATTTTATTGCCCATGGAAATTGCAGGAGACAAAGAACCAACTGTAGCCTAGTCCACACATTTTTAACTACTGTGCGGACGCCTAAGTAAACTGCTTTCAGTCATCTTTTGTTGTTTCTTCAGTCAGGGACATAGGGGTCGCCCGATTAAAGCACTTAATGACGTGCCTTGCGAAAACGACAGTATTGCGGGAGAAGTAACGCAAAGAACCTTTCAGGACCCAAAAGGCGCCGAGTAGTCACGGTGGCGCTTTACATTGGCAGGAGTAAAAGTTTACCGAGTTGTCCTAATAGCCTTTAGTGTCTTTTGTTGTTATGTATTCACTTGGGGTGCCCACCGGAACACTTTATATTACCGTTCATCCAACACACCCGCTGGAAAAACTCAGGGGGCCTGAATAAAGCCCACCGTCAACACCAGAAATCCCGTATGTGATATCAATGCTAAATGGGGATCCCGGGAAGTAACTCACCAGTGGCAAATGACACTGGTAGAAATGGCCTAATCGTGAAACCATTAGTGCTCATGCATCAAAGCTAGCTTCCTCGATGCGTACCTACCCAATTCCTGAACTGACCAAACATGCCATCACCTCCATGGCTTGACCGAAACTGTAGCAGCTGGAATCAATAGTATCGTCCTTCTGTACCTCAAGGAACGATCTGGCATTGGCTGGGCTTAGGGATGTGTTAACAGACAAGGTCTCAGAAGTCAAACCTCAAAAACATGTAGTATAAGCCTCTAATATCATGCTCATGTTTCCGCTGAATTCGAAACAAACCACACACACAAAACATCCTATTGTTTCGCATCCTCAATGGTGCACACAGGCTAGTGAATTCCAGTTCATATGCCCATCAACCCCAGTGGTTCCTTGTGAAATTTTTACAATTTTCATGCTTCTCATGGTCAAGTCCCTTTTTGTGGATTGAATATTGACCTATTTGATCACAACTTTCTTCTTGGGACGCCCAGTCTCTGCTGCTCAGATTTTCTGCAGATTAGCTCTGATTGCTGTGACGTCTTCATCTCATGTGTTCACCTTCAGTGTTGTTGCCGTAGGCTTCGTGAGTATGCATTGTACCTAGCCACTCTTCGGGCGTGATAACCGGGCGTGCCACCACTACTCCCCAACAAAAGCCGTTTTGTCGCGAAGGCTGTTTCCGATGTTCTTAGCGCTAAGTTATTCATCGGTCACTGAAACAACTGCTGATATGACAAAACGAGAACACCGGTGTGGGACAAAGCGAGCTGGTTTGGAGCGCGGTGACTAACTCGTTTCCACAATCTTTTCTCTGAGTACAAAGGTACACCACTACGTTCTTGAGTCGGAACAGTTCCAAACTTTTTTCGAAAACGATATATAGAAACATGTTCCTTCTTTCTACCCTATGGGACTACTTTTAATATTCTTCAAACGGTTCAGCTCGTGAATTTCAGCGGTGATTTGATGTTCAATTCGAAGGTGTCCCTGAGTGCGCGCTATTCTTCACGGAGGACTTGTGTTGGGTGAGGCAGCCACTTACTGATGTATTAGCTTGAGCAAAGAAGCCCACTGTTCAATTACTGTAATGGCATAACTTTGCTTAACGATGTGCTAAGACCAACTCTAAGTGTTTAATATGGCTTATCTAGGCTTTATGGCGATGTCTCGCGGAAAAAAACTCAGCAGTGTAAACGAGTGCCCAGCTCGTTGTTGGTGTATAAGGTTGTTTTCTGTCGCGGTAAAGCACTGTCATTGGAGAACCGTTCACTACTTGTTGCCGTTCATACCAGCATCACACGGCCTGTGGCCAAAAGTCTAAAATCAGTCAATCTCGAGCTTTTGTTACGGAAATAATCTGTGCCCACCAGTTTGTTTGTCTCGGCTATTTCGTGATATTTTGATTAATCGCGACCTGTTTTATCCAATCACATCGCTCCCAGAACGCAAGGTGCCTCCACTATAATGCTTGACTCGACTCTAGTAGTTTGTGCAACCTGCTTACTTCAGAATGGTTGCTGCCTGGCTAACAAGCTATAGTAGCAACGCGATCATGCTACTCTGCTGGGGGCGAGATGGCCCAAGTGGTTAGAGCGCGAATGTACTGACCGGAAGGTCCGTGGTTCGAATCTGACCTCCGCCACTCGAATTCCCCTGTCTAGACTTGGGCAGCCTGGCAGTATCCCAACCCTCGTGCTTCCTTCTGGTGGCATGTCAGCTAGGCACCGGAAGGGTGCTACAGCTGAACGCATGCTACTCTGCCTTTTGCTTAGGCTGCAGCGGGCTTGACATTAGGACCATGTCACGGTCTTCGTCTGCGAGTAGCCTTTGCAGTTGTGTTACGGAAACGGCAAATCATTGGTAGGGTTTTTTATTGTCTGTATCCTGGCAAGCCCCTCCATGCTTTTCAAGAAAAAAATGCATTCCCACCACTCCGTGAATCTTTATGGCCTGTATTTTATGCCAAAGCTGCACACACTATAAATCTTGTGGAACATTGATTTTCTGGTTGTTGCGCGATGCTGCAGTGGAAACATATTTTACTTTCCATCTTCTCTCTTGGCGCTACTTGGCACGCGATGTTTGGTATCGTTTGAGAGTGAAAGCTCAGTAGAGGGTGGACCCCAATGTCAGGAGATTCTGTGTATAAAGTACAGATAAAGTGTGTATCACGAATTCGAGACATGGACAACAAGCTCTCCCCAGTGCTCACTCCAACTTAAGACACGTTCTTCTGGCTACTTGCTGACAGGTGATACCATTTCAACACAGAGTGGCGAACCACATAAGACTACCTTTGGCTGGGCGGTGGTATCTCCCCGGACGGCAGCTCAATCCGTCAACCATCACATGTGTTTACCATCTGCAGTCAGAAAATTTATTATATATCCTGAGTTTAACGGCAATGTTTTTGAATCTGCAAGTGCATTCAGTCTATTTAGAATAAGTCGTAAACCCTACACACCCATTTCATCCTCATTGAAAGTCGTGAAAGGTACATATTTTATGAATCGCTAGAGAGATTCAACCCTATGACCCTGCAAGTTTCCGGCGATTCGATCGGTGGCACGCGTAACTCGAGGGCGAACTGTGTTTGAACGACATGAACTGACCGTTTGTGTGTCAACATGCTGTGTTAGGGGGTGTTTGTAGACTCCCAAGTGTATTTCATTTGCTTTATGAGTTTCTCTTCGCAGACGCGATAAATTCCGTCAGTTTCTAACTCGGATGATCAGTAACCCATCGTTCTCAGTTCACTCTAGTGGTCTGTCAGTATTTCCTGTCTCTGGACTCAAGTCTTGTGGCCAAACCATTGACTCTGCTGTTAGAAATATCACCGATTTCTGTTAAAGTTTGTGTTGACTGAAGGTATTTCATCCTTCCTAGTGAGAGTTAAGAAAAGTCTGGCGCTTGTCGAACGGGTTTTACTTTGCCTCTGCTCCTCGAGTGATGATTTATGTCTTTTTTCTGTCTGATCCTGTGCGTGTCACGCTGAAATAAATGCATCTGAGACCTTTGAGAACAACTGTTGTGGCGTGTGTTTATTTCAGAAGGTTCTCTCTGCCTTCGTTGTTTCGCAGGTTGCTGAGGTCGGTGCTCTATTTGTGGTTCATTTTGGTTGTGAAACCGTGTATTTCGATATTTTTAGTAGGTTTTACGATCGTTCGAAAACCTTTATGCATGCGCTTTATGCCAGATTTTTACGGCGAACATGACGTAGACAATTCCAATCCCGTGTTGTATGAAGAGCGAGTCTTCCATGGGAATTTAAAACGTTTGGCTCCTTTGATCACTTTGAGGTGTGCAAAGAGAACAGCGTACTTTCAGAACCACATTATTTCGCACATAAACTTGTAAAATGCGGTAAAATCACAGAAAAAGAAAATAAAGAAAGCGTTCAGCTGTAGCACTCTTCCGGTGCCTAGCTGCCATGCCACCCGAAGGAAGCACGAGGGCTGGGATACTGCCAGGTTGCCCAAGCCTAGACAGGGGAAGTCGAGTGGCGGAGGTCGGATTCGAACCACGGACCTTCCGGTCAGTAAATTCGTGCTCTAACCTTTTGGGCTGTGTTGCCCAGTGGTCTGAAGGGAAACGAACTATCAAGCGTGCGCGCACCACGGCGTGATCGGAAAAATCGCAGAAGGTGAGAAGGATTAAACAAAGCATCATAAATGTTTTTCGTGCAACGAGGGTTTTCGCCATCAGATCAACAGTGCTTGAAGAAAGTTTTGCTGTTTCGATTGCCTTCATCTATTAAAAGATCCGAACGATAATTGCAACTCAGCCTTTTACGTTGTTTGGGTCACGTACCTCGTGATTAACGATGTGACTTTGGAATCGAATTCACTGGCAGGCTATAAGTCATTCTCAAACACCCCAGCTGTATGGTTTACCTACAATTTGTAAAACGAATTTACAGATTCACTCAGCACTAACCGTGAATGACTCACCCTATCATGTACCAACCAAACGGTTAGCCAATATATCCCAAAGAGCTGAGCCCACGAAGAATCGTCGGAAAAATATCTACGTACCTTGTAGTAAAATCGGTGTCTAGCTACCACGTCACCCGAAGGAAGCATAAGGGCTCAGATACTGCCAGGTTGACCAAACCTAGACAGGAGAAGTTGAAACGCAGAGGTCGGTTTCGAACCACGGACCTTCAGATCAGTAAATTCGCGCTCTACCACTGAGCCGTCTCGCCCGAAAAGCCTTTTATGGCAAACATGATGACGTTTTTTCCCTAAAATTTAGCCCCCGTTTACTAACGTCCCTAGCGTTGAAGCTGTTGGTGATGTTTGACTGTGTGATGTTTGATGTGTGCGTCACGACCGTTGTTCTAGTCATTTGATATCCGGACTGATTTAGATCCCTGGCCTCCATTGTAAGCCAGCTGCTTCCACAAAAAATATGTTTATCTCCTCGGTTCTCCATTTGATGTAGTCCGACGGCTGAAACGGCTCTCTAAATTCCCGATACAATTGTGAAATGTGCAGCTGCGAATAGAAACAATACCACTACTTCACCGGAACATAACACATTCACTCTCTTGGTGTCCCTTTGCTGCGGTAACCTTTATTACGTTTGTTTGGTTGCACGCGACTACGTTTCGGGTATCTGACTTTCACTATGCGATTGATTTCTACTCATATGAATAAGCAACCACTTGAGGATAATTTTGGTGGGATTATGTATCGTCTTCCACTCCTGCCTCTATTCTGATAGCGTCATCGGACTCGGGGATATTCATTTCTGAAAAATGATATAAGTCGTGTGATATGGCCCCTCCTGAGGTTCAGGACATCGCTTACAACACTTTTCGATTCGTTCCACTAGGATAAAGACGATACCTCAGGAGAGCCTTCTGTATGGCTTACCGTTTTCTTTTATAATCTTGTTAAATTTTCTGGTTGATGTTGAAATCCTTCGACTTGTAACTTTAGAATCCCCTACTTATCCGTCAAGAGTCGAGTTTAGAATGTTGCGGTGTGCTCCATGTTACTATACGGTTCAGGAACCTGACCGCTGCGCGTTTGAGGACGTCAAAAGACTTTCAGTGTTGGTGTGAACACCGGATCATCAATGCTGAAGTTCATCAAATGGTATTCGTGAGAAATAACTCACCCTCGATAGATGAACTAATCACACTGCATGGGTTGCGCTGACTTGTCCACGTGCTGCGCACGCCAGTCGACCGACTTACTCGAAGGGCTGTTTCCGCACAACCACGTGAAGGGTGGAAGAGAGCCAGAGGCGGTCAAACAATGACTTGGCAGCGAAGTATAAAAGCCATTACCAGCAAACTCAGCTGCGCTGGTAATTGCCGTCTTCCTGGATGGGGACCCCGAGACGGGCCATATCAATGGTTAGAGACATTGTCAGACATGGACCAGTCGCGCTTGTGCATGAAAGCTATTGCCTTCAATGCATAGCTCCCTTCCCAACCCCTCCCCACTTAAAAGTGCCGTACTTACGCACCAACTTATCAGCTCCCGCCTCCAATGCGCAGCTATCTACCCCACCTCCCCGAATCATCGCTGAACGGAATTGTCGCAGCTACAACCAGTGTACGACGAGTACGCGGTTCTTACAGCTGACAATGATGATGATAAATCCCCTGCCGAATAAACGCCTTCCTAAAGAACCGTTCGTGTCCTAGCACATACCTGTAGAATGATTTCCGCTTCAACGTCAATAACTTATTTGAAAGACAATATTGATCACTAATGATATTGCTTATTAGTTTCTATTCAAATGCAAAACCGTCATCTGTGTGGCAGTTTAGGTGAGTTTGTATCACGCTCCTACGAGCAGACTGCTAAGAGGTGAAAATTCAAGAGATACAGAGGAATTTGTCCTCACTGAATTTCACTTACAACCTTGGACATGGCACGCAGCCCGATAGATGCCCCAGACAACCGAATGGCCTCATAGGATCTCGGTTAAGCTTGTGATGTTTCATACGTTAGGCCAGAAACCGTTTTCTTAGCAGAGACTCTAGTGGATTCGTCCGCCCCGTTCAGTTTTCAGAAAAGGATATCGTTTGGGGTCCACTTGGGTTGTGTGGATTTGCACATTTCCTCGAGTGGCGACACATTCACACTTCCCCATCTCATGAACTTGGTGTATCACCGTCATACCAAGTGGACCTGGTGAATCTTGGAACCGAACCAGTCTGCGTTCATCACTGTGAAGTTAGTTTTCCAGGTTTCACTCAGTCCTGAAATAGCGTTTGGCTGTTCTTTCCCCTCATAGTTAAATTACTTTTTGTGTGCGTTGACGTCAGTCTGCGAAAATGGAAGTGACCCGGTAGAGATTGCTCTCGACCAACCCATACAATGCACTGATGTTAATCCTCTTGATACCCTTGCCGAAATGACCCATTTCCCATGGGCGTTTTCCGGACGATTGTTGAGGTGTGATTGCCTAATGTGCTTGTGGAAGATTATTACTTGGTATTATTGTTCATTCGTTCTTTTTTTACTGTAGTTTTACTGCTGTAGATTTTCGCTGCCTATGTCCCTTTACGGACTGTTGCTATAAAGAATGCACTTTCCGAAGAAGCTCTGGTACGGCTTTTGTGGATGTGTATGCGTGAAGTTTGTGGGATTTTAAGTGCTAGTGAGTTACACTGGCAACTCATTTGGGACGTTGGACTACTTATGTACAGTCATTGTGGTGTTTACTCAGTCATCTATTCTAACAGGATTCTTAGTTGGTTTTGACACTCAGGTGTTAACCAGCTGCCAAACAATTGCCGTTCTGGATCTTTGGTTGTGTTCCGATCCTGCTGTTAGGTGTTGTCGGAGAAATTGATTTTCTGAAGCTGTGCTCAGTTTTGAAGTTTAGTACATCACCGCTTGTTTTGCTCTCGCCCAGTAGATCCCACATCAAATTGCTTGAAAGCAGTCCACACTTACAGATCGATAGGTTTTGACCTTTTTAAATGGAGCCCATCTCATTACCGTTTGTCGGCTGCATTATAATAAGTAGCTATCTACATCTGATCGAATTGCTATTCTTCAACTATGTTAGGATTATCAACCTACTTTTTACTTGTTTGTAGCTACGCATACAGCAATTGGAGAAAACGTGTTCGGTCAGTGATGTTACTCATGAAGATAACTCCACTCAGGATTCATTGTACTCGGAAACCCTAAAAACACAACTATCAGATCTACAGTGCCAGTTGGACTCGTTGAATGACAAGTACGAACAATTGGGAGTATCGAGCCGAATAGCTGAGGAAACCATCATTCAGCTGAGAACAGAGTGAGCTGTACATTATCTCTAATGAAATTAAGTCGTTTGCTGTAGACGATTGATTATTAATTGTTCCCAACTACTGATAACTATGCAAGCACACAACAACAATGTGTCCAATCAGCTTGTTAGTTTACCCACTGCGAGCCACTAGTTTTGTAGTGTGTGTTGACTTTTCATCCCCCTCCAAGCTGCATAGATCTTGAATTATGCTCTAGGCTAAAATATGATGACTGCACAACATCCCGATGTTGAGATCACTCGTGACAGGTGGCTTGACGAAAGGCGGTCCCACAATTGAAGATAAGTCAGCAACGTATAGGCCCGTCTAGTTATTCTTCCGACACATAAAGCCGGGTTCCATTAGGATGCCTGCTACGATTATATACGCTATATTCACTTGACCGTTTGCAAGGAAGCTCACTTAGGATGTCGGCTCTTTAGGTTAAACTAGGAACTTTTCATCATAGTAACGCAAGTCCTTGGTCCCACAAAATCTCAACTGGTATTGTATCTCGGACTGAGTTCCGCGACTTGCGACATCATGTGGTTAGAATGTGACGCCGGAACTATCTTTTCCTCCCCGTTTCATTGCTATTTTGACTGGTACGTTTCCTGGACATTCGTTTTTTGCTACACTCGACGTTCACAACGTCGCCAAACATCCGCTGGATGTGCTATTGGTCTTCAACAGCCGGGCGCGGTCTGTACGGTATCAGATCGCCTTTTCGTGATTGCTGATGACCGTTAAATAGTTCGTTGGTTATTTGGCCCTAGGCTGCTCTCAAGCCCATTGGCAATTTACTATACAGCGTCATTAGCATTGGGCGATCCAGTTATCAAACTTTGGCGATATTACCAGTGAATACTTTTGGTTTGTTGCGCTTGCCTGTCTGGTAGCTGATCGTTACTGTAGGTTGTCCAATCATTTGGAACATTGAGCCTCACCAGTTATCGTAAACCTAGTTCCATGACTGGTGTCTGGTTTCTTTTTACCAACTTACAATGAACTAAGCATTCAAATAAGTAAGGCCAGTAACATTTAGGCGTTTGGTAATTGTTTTGCTGTATAATGTGCTATGATTAGCCAGCTGCTGAGATTTCGTTATGCCTGTTATTTGTCACGACTTCACATGAAATGACAACCGTAACACTGGAATCCTTCAACCGCATTTGAGTAATATAAGCCCACAGATGTGGGTATAGGATCATTCAACAGTTGCTACCGATATCTCATCATGTTTTCTATGAATGCTTCTTTAGTCTGTCTACCTAATATTTCACCAATTTGTTCTCTAGATTGACTGAACAACAGGAGACAAACTGTAAGCTGCTTGCTAACTTGCGAGATTTCGAAGAGGAGAACGAGGTTCTATGCAAACGCGCTGCAGATGCCCAGTCTGCTCTTCGACAGCTAGATGCAGAGCAGCAGGAGGTGGGTCCTGGACATTTTATCATGTGGTTTTGCTGCTGGTTAGGATTTCTGTTCACGTCTGATTCCATCGTGTCAGTTCCAGCTGTCCGTCTGATGTTTCCTCTAACCACTTATGCTACAATTCGGTTGACCGACGGTGTGACCGTTGTAAGCAGATCGCCAGGTTGGAAGTGGCACAAACCTCATGACGTTAAAGACTTCTAGACATGATTCCCTCAACGTCGGCAAGTGGAAAATGTTTCTCCCTTCCGGATCGTACATAGGCCCATTTAGTCAGTTTGCATTGGTTTTTAGTAGTGTTCGTTTTCTCTTCATTAACTTTCGACCAGACCTACCTTAAAACTTGCTTCACAATTGTCTGCTAATGTTACCCGCTTTGAAGTCCTCTCATGGCTGTGTATTATGTCGTACTAGTAATGATATCTTTTTTTAAATTAGTTTAGTCTATGGCTAGCTCAGCCACCCATGTCATCGGTTTTATACCAGTACCCATGCCTACCAGCATCGTGTACTTCCTAAGGGCGTATGTTGTCCATCATATCTAATCCTGCATATCTCAAATCTTCCCCAGTTTGGATCTCATTAACTTTTGGAATTGAGCTTTGTTCTCATTACGTTTTCACCCGTCATTTGTCTTTTATTTCCTTCATGTTGCACTTTACACGCAAGGGTAGTGATTAGGTGCAATACCCATGCACTCGTACTCACATTCTGTTTTCTGTTTAACAGCTATTGTCTGATCTTGCCAGTCTTCGAGCGGAGCGAGTTGCACATCGACAGTATGGGCACAACACAGACTATGAAAGCTCTGGAGCACTAATTCCTATAAAAAACGACAGTAAAGCATTCTCAAGCACTCCCGCCTCACTGGACAATGTGGAACATGGACAGACCGGTTCCGAACTCAGCGCTTATGACCGTCTACGTGAAACGGAAACCCACTACAATCTGGCGAATGAGCGCTTAGCCACTGCGAAACAGGAGCTACAGAGTATGAAAGCTGCGCGCCAGGCGGAACAACGCGAATGGAGTAGGGAGCGTGAATCTTTAGGACAGCAACTCCAAAATGCAATGGTGGACAGAGTAAGGACGAATTGTTATCGGTACCACACTTACTCTCATCTTAACTTTTTTGAAAACCGCACTCAGCATGACGTTCCTTTGTGGAGTTCTCGTGCAGCCTGTTATCTGTACTAGGGAAGTTTTAGTAAATTCGTTTGATCAGTTGTTTTCAAAGACCGGATCTATCCCACAGATGTGTGAAAGGAAGCACGTTAGAGATATAAAGGTAAAACAACCTTTCTGTTATGTGAAAGTGTCACGCTGGAGGGTAAGATTCAATGTCGCTAGATAACTGTCTAGATTTTTTACTTTTGTGCTGTGTTTACCTCTCGGCATGGGTACTGCAGTCCCAATCCCTTGAATGAAGCGTGTGATTCACTTCATATTACCAGTACTCGCTTGCATACACTTTTACCAAGATTGAAGGATAGGTTTTCTGGAAATATTTGAAGTTTGCTTCAACATCATTTCTTCATGATACAACTTACTTTTAACGGTAAGGCTTATAAGTCGCCAACTGTGTGTGCTCGCGATCGCCATCCAATTTTCAACAGTAAGTGATATCAGACCACAACCCGGCTCATCTCATGCTTCATTGATAACCAAAATAACTCAGTTGTCGATTCTCACCTTTCTTACATTTTCTCACTTTTCCATGTCCGAGTGTTTGATGTTTGATGTAATCGTATTAGCCGGCCTGCTGAAGGACTGTGCTTATTCCTTGGCACTTGCAAATAATGTCTTCTTGTTTATCTGGTCCATCATCCACGTCTTTCGTTACCCACTTGTCGGCTTTTTAAAGGAGCTACACCACAGAACTTCGTCATTTTTGTTTCTGCGTTGCGCTATTATCACAGGCAAACGCACTTCGAGAATTACATGCTCTGCAAGCCAATTACTCTGAACTGGAAGCCAGTATCCTCAACTGGGAACGCCGGCTATATGAACTAAAACAATGGGCTGATGATGAACGGGTAGCGAAAGACAAGTTACACGTGAGTCCCTGTGGTTTCCGATTTAAAGAAATGTTTCATGTTCGCCCTCTGGATCTGAGAGCTCTAACCAAACCGAATCGTGTTAGTAACTTCCAATCAATCAAACCGGGGGCTCCCGGTTTGTACCGTAGTTCTTGCGTTTGCTTTAAGGGCATCGGGTTTCGGTCTCTTGGCTTTCCGCCCTTGACTCTGCTATTGTTGGCACCGTCGTCCCACAGTACCCCCATCCAACCTGTAAAACATTCCCACAGGAAATGATTTAGGTGAACCTTAGAAATTCCGGCACTGAACATTCAAAATTATCAAGAGCTCACAAAACGCAGTAAAAATGTCCTGCCTGGAGCGTCAGCTTTCCGTTTTGTGTGTGTGTGTGTGTGTGAACTGCTGCTTGACATTGTTGAGTGTTAACATTCACGCCACGGTACGACGTTGCCTGTCTTCCAACGGTTCCAATGAAAACTCATAAAACTGCCAATTCAGAGCAGAAAAATCCCTGATGCTGAGGACATTATGAGCAGACTGTGCCTGTCGACCGACCAAATGAAATTAGTTGGGTGTTCCCTTCATTATTTTTTACCAACAGCCCGTTGACAGGGAAGACCTAATCAGTTTGACAAAAAAACTCACAGGGCTCGTTTAGTTTGTTGGCCACTTGTTAGCGCGTTGTACGAGTGTTGTGACCCTTCTACGATTGACTGCAGTGCTTGTAGAGCGGAACTAAAACGTTTGACTGCTGTACGTCCTTTATTGCAAAAGCGGCACACGTGAAGGCATAGAAACGGACGGTACACATCGGTAGGGAAAATATTCAAGTGGAAGGAACACACTTATCTACTGTAGCGACGTGTCAATTGATGAACAAAAGTTACATCTGTATTGACTCAGTGGTGCTTCGTAGGTGTCCCGTTCCCGATTTAACTGATCATGCCATCGCCTCCACTGCTTTGCTGTATGTTTTCTGCTCCCACATTTTCCGAAACCGTGGTAGCTGAGACCAACGTATCCTTGATCCACTGTTTATAGCGGACGGACCAACTCATTACGTGCATGACCTATACCATGTTCGAGTGCAAGCTGGGGAATCAGTGCAGGTCAACGTTCAAATGAGGTTCCTTTTAATAGTGAGACTAGTGTCATCTTGTTTTTTATATCCTTTACTGAATAGTGTGGTCATCGATGGTCGTTGGCTTGTTCGCTGAGCTGGGCAATTTGGTTGCAAACGTTTCATCACCAATCGAGGTGACATCATCAGTGCGTAGTTGTGCGTAGCGGTGGGTTAGTGGTTGTGCGTTCAGTAGTGTTACGTGTGTGTTGATATACGTGCTGGTAGCCGAGGATGACCTTTGACCGCGATTAGTTATTCCGTCGGGCGGTTCCATTGGTTGTTCTTTTTATCCCGTGTCCTCATTCGCCGATGCCCACGTGACTTTTGAACTTGACATCCCTCGCCGTCGTAGTCTAGTCGATGTTGGAGTGACCTTTGTCCTTCCGAGTTCCGGTTGTGACCTCATTGATTTGACTCCGAGGAGTTCCTTGTTTCTTCGTTTGTGAATCCATTATTCGGTCCTCCTTGAGTGTTTCGGTTGCGACGTTGATCTCTCGCGCGTAGAGGTGCGTAAATTGGATCCAGTTCAATGCACCGGTTTATTGAACCTGTCTGTGGTCATCATATAGCCGTTGCAAAGCCCTGAGATTGTCATCATCTTTGTCCACCCGGCCGTGTCAGCAGCACTTTACCTTGGCAAGGTGGTCAAAACAGATTGGGTGAAACAATTTGGAGAATTTGATCACGGTAATATTCGATTTTCGGATGCTAAGCGGTTTCACGTTCGCTAGGTAGTCCTCATACTGAGATTCGTAGGCAGAAGTGATCGGATTGCATGTTCGTTCTTGTAAGGTATAGCGTCTTGTCAATGGATCTTTGCAACTCGCCAACAAAGTATTTTTGACACTGACAGGTTACCACGCTAACCAGCGTGTCACTGCGTTTCAATATGCCGTAGCTCCCCCCTTTATGGTATGCCCCTATTGTTGTCTGGTCTATGTAGTATTCCATCAACGGACGTGGCCTGACAGTGGATGCTACAGAATGCTAGCTACCCTTAATGTCCTTGCTTTATCCAGGTGTTTACTTGTCGTGTGGTGTCTGAACTGGAAGCACTTCGGCTAGCTTGCTTAGGTCCGGAAGCTTCTTTGCCAGCGGCTGAAGAAAATATGCATTACGACTATCAACCGGTTTGCAACGGCACAAACAACGTTACCAACGAGACCGTCTCCTTCGGTATGGATAGTCCAGCTGCAAGCATTACGGGTGATGGCACGTTGGACTGGCGTCAGCGTAAATCAAGTAAAGTCAACAAAATGGAACGTTCCAATCTACAGGTGGCGTTGAACAACGAAGTGCGTGCTCGTGAACAGGCTGAATTGCGTTTGCAAGAGGTTGAGACCAAGCTCAAGGAAGTTACCGAGTAAGTAGCGTTTCAGCATGTAAAATCCATGTTTAAAATCCCGACTTGTGGCTAAGCACAATGAACCGAGCTGTACTGTCTATGGATGTTATGTCGGAGTGAAAGTGTAGAAAGTTTGGTAATGAAAATGAAATTAAGGTTCAGTGTTGAGCACGAACGTATGACAGGGCACCAGTAATTGAGTTGGATGATATGCTCAAATATGGTAAAAGGATTGATGGGGAATTGGGTACCGTGTTAAATGTGTTAATCAGCACACATTGCCAGTTGGGAACCACGTGTAGCTGATAAACTCAGTGGAACTATCTGAAAGCAGTAAGTCCATTTCAGGAAACATCCAAACACCTCGATAGATCTGCTACTCAGAAGGACTCAATCTGCCTCCAGTTCAGTCGTATATCACAGAAAAGGTTGCGTCTGCTTGCTTAGGGTTATCCTATTTCTTCGTCCGCAAATATTTTCCATTTTTTTTCTCAACAGCCAATTAAAATTGAAAGAAACGAAAATAGAAGAACAAGAGCGAATGCTGGAAGCGTTCAACGATCAACTATTACAAGGTTTGTTTTCCTTCCTTTAATTTTGGTGACCTACTGTCAGTAGTTTGGGTTTCACTCAGTTTTAACTGCCGCTCACGGTGTTCTTTCATATTCAGGCCAGGATAACTCATCTAATCAGCTCTGAGGTTTCCGATCAACTTACACATCTTTGGTAACTTGCTACCTCCATATGGATAGAGATTGTTGTTAGCGTTGAATTCACGACTTTTTCTTTGGAATGATTACTCTCTCAAGCTTAAACCGATTTGATCAGTTTTAATAACTGTGATGAACTAGCTTCTTCAATGATATGATGATTTAGAACGGTTTTGGATTCATTATTCTCATTGAAGGCAACACAATCAGTGTTTCGTCACTTCACAACATGTTTTTGACCGGTAGATGAAGGCGAACCAGACGGTTTATCATCCGGCTTCTGCTGCTCACCGTCCATCTAATCTATTTTAGTGTACTTATCGACCTCATGCTTCACGCGTCAATCAAAAACTAACCATTCGTGTGTGAAAAACAATCACCTACGTTCTCTCTGTCGTTTATGACACTGGGCTAACTTCAAATGTGTTGCGTAAGCTGGGAGAAACAAGAGGCGGTTATTCTCTCACACAACAGGCTATATGCTACTTCTGTTGCTTCGTATTTTGTTCTAAGTACAGTTACGTGTCATAAACGGTTAAATCCCATTTAAACAGAACTTCAGGTTTTCGAATACTTTCGTCCCTCAAAGTTGATGAGGTGACCGACTGGAGGATCATGGACGTATGTTCCAACTTTCAACCAAATGTGTGCATTTAGCAAACGGTAGTGTCGAAAAATGCAGTTTGTAGGCGAAGAATGTAATGGACAAAAAGACAAGTTCATACTAGTCAGGAATGTTCTTGGAAATTGGAATGTGTTCCTTAGGGATTTTGTTTCATACTTTACAAAGAAGTTTGTGACGTGTCGATTACCCTTGGTTTTTGGATGCGAAATAATGCACTGAATAACTTAGTGACTGTTACTTAATCTGGTTAGTTCAAACCAAGTGAAAATGTAATAGATTCGAGTTCCGCTCTTGCTGGAGCTTATCACCAGTGCCATGTCCCTGGTTGCGCTGGGGTTCATACTCGAGATCCTCGAGGTGGACAGGAGAGCGTGTGCCCGCTCCTCCGCAACCACACACTGGATGCACCTAACTTATGTCTAAGCAGACAAGGATATCAATGCTCTCGGCTTCGGTCTACATTACTGTGATGCTTATTTGGAGCTGCAGGTACCTCAACATTCCACTAGTGCTGTTGTTAGGTAATGTAGCATCGGTATCAGTTCTTTTGACTTTGAATGATGACGATGATGATGACGGTGACGACAGTGACATAAACCTCAGAAGTTCATAATATATTAAAAATTCCGGACCTCCTACTGTCACGGTGAGAATTTATATGACAGCTAAAGCTACTACATCCACTACTGTCTACTTAGGTGCATAATGTCTTGAAAATGCTCTTATAAGACTAGCTCGTAAATTTTTCCACAAGCAGCTCTGAAACACTATGAACTTGGGCTTAGCCATAGGATCCCACATTAGGGTTCTAGTCGCCAACAGGCCTGTCGAGCCGGACACTAAATAGCCTTCATTGTCTACAAGAAGGCGCACTCTGCACAATACGTAAAACAGACTTGGTTACTGAGCTGTCCCTCCCATCTCGAGATTCACGAAAAATTATAACTCATTCTATGCTTCTAAATGTAATGATTCTAAATGCAATGATTATGAAGTCATCGTCTACTTTGATGTGTTAGACGGTTCCCATAAAAATTATGCACCGACTTACTCGGTTAAAGCTAGTTCAATAAGCACAGTCTGAATGCTAGTTGACAGGGTCTCAATTGCACTGTGTGGACGAATTTACACAAACGAGTTCGTTGGCCAATAATCACGCTTTTATATTTAGGCGTCATCTCGAGCTGTTTCGGGCCCCAACGTTCTGTTCAAATCTGCAGAGGGTAGTATTAGGTGATCGATAGTTTGGCATTCTTCGTCGTCCGTTTAGGTGTGTTGTTCAGTGTGAACGTTTTACCTGTCGGATAGTGGCACGTGTGGCACGTGAGTAAGTTCGTTTAGTTCGCACGTTTTTCGACGAGATCGGTCGGCTCTCCATCATCTGGTTCATTTTGCAGAGAATTTATCTATCGACTGATGATGCCTGGATTTTTTCGTTCGAAACTGATTGTTTCAATTATCTAATTGTTCCAGTTCCCGATTATATAATGCCTGATCCTTCAACTTTAACACAGATTAAAATGGAAATTTGAAGCTTAGAACTGTTTAGTTTATATGGCCTCAGATGCTGTTAGCATGTTTGTCGAAGCCCCACCGTATTAGTCAGTAGTGGACCCTTTTAAAGTGGAACTCATTCGGGCATATACTGCACGTATATGTGTTTTGCATCCGGTTTTTCGTCTGTAGTAACTTACTTGGGCTTTGAGCGATTGTCGTCCTATTTTCTATCCCGTGTTAAACGGAATGTCAGGTTAGAATCCCCCCATGGCGTGAAATGTTCCGAATTCGTTTTTCGGGTCTGCAGTTGGGGCCATGTTATCCTAGCCTCGAATGTGAGAACGTGCTCATATGCGGGTTAAAATAGTTTATCCTTCGTGCCAAACACTTTTCTACGATGTCTTTGTAGACAACGCATTCCGGAAGACATCATTCTTTGTTTAATTGCAGCTCAAATATGTGCGTCTCCGGTGACTAGAGGTAGGCTGAAAGGACAGAAGGAAGGTTAAGGCGAATTTCTATCCTGCAAGCTAAGACGTTTTGATCTGTGGGGGAGACGAAACCGAAAATCCAGAATCCCTACCTCCATAGCAACATTTTTGTCGTTGTGGTGCTGGTCCGCCGGAAACCATTCTAGAATGGTCAGAATCGTTCACTATTACTGGTTTGCTTTCCACTCTATGTCGCAAGTGTGGTTTCTGTTACCCCTGGACTCGAGTAATCCCTCATTTTGTGGACGACTGGGAAAATTGGTATATTAATATTCTTTTGATATCGTTATCCTTTTCAAACTCCGGCGTGAACTCAGTGCTGTTGGCAGAAAGAGTAAAAGACGGCAGTACAGTGCTATCCTTTCTGCAACATTCCGAAGAATCCTCAAACACTTTGGCGTCTGATGGGGGAGTTGTTTACGCTCCACAAACACTGGTAATAGACTAAACATGGGGTGGACTTCTGCCTGTCATAGGTTTTATTTATCATACAATTCTGTAAATGCCTACTTCACTGTTGTCGCTTCTGGATGAGTATACGCTAGACAACGGATATCAAATCCCTGTTGTCCAAGGCTTCATTCAGTGAGGCGTTTGATATTCTGTTGCAGTTTTTCCTTATTAACTTTTTACCCCCTATTTTTCTGATTTTCAGTCTCCAATCAAGCCAGTCTTTCGCATGTGCAGAATGGGGTAAGTATCGAAACAGACAGCAACTTCGTTGCACTCAGCTGGTCGCATTACTCTGCTGCATCTTTTTGGATTTCCACTTGAGCTCGATATGGCTGAGTGGTTAAGGCGTGAAGTTACCGACCGCAAGGTCCGTGGCTCAAACTCAACCGTATTATCTCGACTGCCCCTGTCTAGACTGGAAGTATGTTAGCGCTCACGCCTACTTCTGGTGGCATGGCAGCCAGACACCCACAAGAAGTTACAACTGAGCAGTTGTTTTTTTTCTTTTATGTTAAGTTTTCATCAGGGACTCTGTTAGTTTGCCTTAGAATTGCTCTGGATAGTTCCGGCTCTAAGGAACTAGTTTCGAACGGAAGTGTTCATGATTCACTCCTCACCTGTTACCTGCCGCTGACATTTTCCTGACCTACGTTTCATGGCAGTAATGCGTCGAAAGGGGCTACAGCTGAAAGGCTTGACTTCTGTAGGGTTGCTTTTACTTTTTACTCAGGATAGCAGGAGCAACACGTATATCCAATTTAGCCACGTAATCCTTGGAAATAGCAGTATCCTTCCTAAAGAACTCAACTCAAGCAGGATTTTCAGGACGGAACATCGACTTCCATGGTCCTGAACACCACCTTCCCACGGAGTGAATAGATGCAGTGTCAGACCGTGACCGGGTACCTATGCAGCGTCAGCTTAGGATCTTTGGCTCTCATGGTAGCTGAAGCAAATGCAGATTTCAACTCTCAGAAGAATGCGGCTGTGCCCAGCTTTCAAGCTGATTCTTGCGGGGAACAGGTGTGCCAATCATGGTTACACAACTCACTCTTAACTGTTTTGGAAACCGGTACAGCAAACCTCCATAAGTTCTAGGCTGATAGTCAACGGTCAAACTTATGTTTTTCGAGTCACCTAGTGGAATAAATGGAGTAATTACTTTTCGCTCACGTTAAACATGATCAGAAGTGGCTGAACAAAACGTTCTTAGTCTCACGCACAGCGTTCTCTACAATCGCAAAAAAATTAAACCTCACAGATTAGTGTAGCTTTTAAGTGACTTACCGAAGTTGCACTACGCAGTCAACGCTAGCTCACCTATTGCCCTCCTACGGCGATCACGTGCACCCTTGTGTGACTTTTCTTTGTTTAGAAGTCTTCTGTAGTAGTAAATCGATGATTCGCTGGTGTTTAGCAAAAGTTCCTCCGTGCGGAACAAAAACCAGAGCTTGCGGTGCATAAGCTCAGTATCTTTCTCACAAGGCACTGCGACTCAAGTGACCATTGTATCGATTATCAGATGACGGAGAAACTTCTGCGCTTCCTACATTGGGCAACTTGCGGCCAAACGCGCATTACTACGTTGCACGCAAGTACATCGACTGAGGGAATTCGGTTGGATTGCCACATTTTTCAAACCCGCGGCTATCACATTTAGGATCATCCCTATCCAACGCATTCTGCTTGTCATCAAGACGCCCAAGTTTTTTCAATCTAGATTTCACTTCGATCTAGAATTCAAGAGACCACTGTCGTAATTATTATGCTGGGAGCAGGTCCGCAGGTCATCGCAAAGTTTCTGTTTTCTCATTTCCTTATAGTAAGAAGTGTTCGAGTTTTGACATTTGGCCTCCATCCTGTTCCAATTTCAGGTTGCAGATGATGCTCTGAGCCTAAGCCCTCATCACGTAAGTCTGATATTTACTTGTTCCTTTCTCTGTTGATGAAATCATTTAATGCCGTACACTTAGCCACAGTACGACGTTGCTAACCACATTGTATGTTGATTCCTTACGTGCGAGTTTATTTTAGTCAGTATTGATTTAGTTAACCTCAATCTGTGAAATTCTCTACCTGAGCACACACGGGTTACGTCCAGTTCTATGCAGTTTTAAGGTTGTTATTCTCGCTGTTAACGAGCCAGGTGGCTTAAGTTTCCTACTGCAGTTATCCGAAGTTCGAACAGGTGCTATTCTTCCGTTCTTATCCCCTTTTTGGTGACCACCTACTTTATTCTCATTATCCACAATGGAATCAACTGTCATCCTGATTGGTCCATCTCTTATAACTGATCCTTCGTAGGATGGTTTTGTTCCTTAATACTTTTAATGGATTTTCTAACATACCTTCTTTTGGGTTGCCATTTCGTCCGCCTCTTGCATAGTTATCAGTTCTTTAGCCTGTGGAACCAGTGCATGGTAGATTTTCCGTTTTGTAAACTTTTCTCTGTAGTTTGTACGTCTAAACTAGCTTCATCTAAGTTAATGGATGTGATGGAAGCCTCGCGGTGACACCATGTCTCAGACTACAAGTCGGCTGTGTACTGCATCACAGCCTCTCTCGCTCATACCCAGGCAAATTAGTCTCCCATGCGCATTATTGGTCTGATGCAGCATGGGTTTCTGAGAAACTTACTGCAGGTCTTAAAATGAATTCCTGTTTGAGTATTCATAGTTTTCGAATATAGTTTGCCGTCCAGGTTTCCGTTTCTTGTCCAGGACGTTTTGCCACCTACCTCGCATTTGCCTCGTGTTACCAGTGATGGATTTGCTATACCCATAACATGGTTGCAAGTGAAAGTAATCGAAGGTATTGCCTATTAATTTTGTGGAGAACATGTCGGAATTTGTGGTATTATTCCCCACCCATCTGTCTGTAAGGTTAGATTAAATGCATTAGGAAGGGCACTCATCATTGTTTTCGTCCATAAGGCAAATTCAGTTTTGGTTCGTACTAGCTGTTCGCAAACTTTTGCGTAACCTTTTGCGTGCACTGTTCCAACTGGCGTGAAACCCTGTTTCAAAGGTAGAGCTGACCACTTCTCATCCTTACTCTTCGGTGTTCCAGACACCGATGCATGGCGATAGGTGGAATGTATCAGTGTTATTGGAAACAAACACAATCCATTGATGTGGATAGCCATCGAGCTGGACTGATTTTTTCTTAAATTCTAAACTCTCTGACCTCTCTGATATTTTTATTTAAGATGTGACAAATAAAGCCTGTGTCATAAAACACCGGTTTTTCATTGGTATCGCGTCCGTGCTATCTCTTTTATCCGACTTGTTGATATCCTGCTTGCGCACTTGTGTTTGTGGTATTCGGGTGACTGAATGATGATTTGTTTATCTTAGGTATTAAACGCCGAACAAACGTGTCGGGGTACTGAGAGTCGGCGCTCCCTTCCACTGCTCAGCCTTGACAATTTGCAACATTCTACCCCAGCTCATCGCTCGTCTTTGGATAATAGCGGATCCATTGCACCCTCACAACATTCGTCCACATCTGCGCATGATTTCACCCTTGACTCATTTACTGGCCCTACCAAATGTAGAGTCTGTTCGAGTCTGATTTTAGGGCAGCGCTTCCAAGGCGTTCGTTGCCAAAACTGCGGTTTTTCTTGTCACCAACGCTGTCGCCATTCAGTCCCTGTGGGCTGCCCTGCTCCCCTAATTTCTGCACCAAGTAAGACTACATTTGTACTTTTCTTAGTGTTTTGTTCCACGAGTGAAACACGGCCGGTTTTCCTGGTTTTCACTTTTTCAAAAGTATTATGTTACCCGTTAATTAAATAAGGAAAGAATAGATCTAGGGTAGAGCACCGGTCTTACCGTTAGCGCACTTTTTGATATTGATGTAATTTTCGAACAGATATCGATATGGATGGATCTAACTATTCTGTAATCTCTAGTTCCAAGCCGATACCTTTGGTTTATGCACCGACTGTAGTACGTTATCGCTTCGAATTGTTGTTTATGCGTGAGGTCCTGGTGTTGGAAGTGAGTGGTTATGAGCCTTGTGTCTGCCACGAACTGCATCAGCTTTACTGACTGCCCACCTTTAGTTCTTACGCAGCACCAACACGCACCAAGCAGCATTTAGTAAATTCTTTTTTTTCTCAGGTCTAAGGATGCATGGTCAGGATGACTAAGCTCTGCACATTGCATCCAGCTAGACTTACACGCTAGCACTTGAACTGAACCAATTTCTTCATCATTGTGTTGATTTTTCACACTAACCCAATCACTTTACGTGATCTACTTTTACGTTTCCTATAGACCCTGGAATCGATGGTATTTACGGTTTTGGGGCTGTGTTAGAAAGCATTGTGCAGGCAAGTGGTTATTTGTGCATTCTTTTTTTTGCACTGGTTATCTCCCAGCACCAGTTTTTCACTATGTGGTGGCTTGGAACGCACCTCACATCAGCTGTCTGAACACAACCGAGTGCATATTTACGCGGACGCCACAAACATGAACCGCGTAAGACTGAAAACCCGATGCCACAGTAAAATAAATCAAATGAATGCGGAGAAGAAATGAAATGATCTTTGAAGCTGGAATAACCTTAAAATTACACCCGGGCATTTGTGACGAAATCCTAGGAAGTCTCCTGTGAAGCAGCTATGTTTTACTTTGTTGCTGTGACAAATACACAATGGACTTCCTTTTGTATCCCCATTATTCCTAGAACGGAACAGTTGGGTGATTCGCTCAGTTTGAACGCAGTAGAGAGATTAACGAATTGTTGTTGCACGCTTTCATCTCCGTCCTTCAATGGACAAGGTGCACGCTGTTCATAACATTCTTAATGGGCGCGAACGCGCACAACCATATTTCTAAAGTTATTCGTGGACAACTTTCCGTCTGTTGTGTCTGAATTAGGTATAAAGGTAACTGATTGTCCCGTTCTCTAAATACTTAGTTTAACTAATTATTTCAATACCATCTCTCAATGCGATATCCCTGTTGATTCCCTATCCCAAAACTTAGTCGTTCAGCTATGTACCTTGATCAAATAGCAGAACCCTCATCATTCTATCCGATTTCAAGTCACCTTTGTTGCGGATTACTTTGTCCATCATTCAGGTCCAGGTAGGTCTCATATCCGTGCTTGAGGAGTGTCTGTCTTCCGAATAGTTCACTCTATTCAGAAACCATTTATCTTTACTCATCCGTCATGAATAAGTGGATACCGTTATCTTCTTATTAGCGAGCCATGTCGTCACTTTAATTTAGAGAGTTTTCAATTAGTTTCGATAGGTCTTGGTGATCCATCAGTAGTTTTCCCCACTTGATTGAAATCCTTCACTTGGCCTCACTTCCATATCGATGTTCAAGACCAGCTGAGAATATGAAGAGTGATCGTTTTTCGCTGAGTTGGTCTTCACGAAATAAGCATTCCATCGTCAGTCGATGTGGCATCAGTGCGACCTCAAAAGAGGTATTATCTTGTCTTCATTATACAGCACTACAGACTTTCACTGACTTTATTTCACTCAGTGTTCGACTGTTCCCGCCAAATTTAGCAGATCGGTCCGTTTTTTATCGATTCACACATTTCTATACCTGAGGACACCAGGTCGAAAGATGACACCTTCGTTCGTCGCGGACTGATAACGTGGTTCATTCCACTTGATTAATCTGCAGGCCCATTTTTGGATTAAGTGGTTGCCCAGACGAGGCACACTCGTCTGCGATATATATATGTCACTCACCTTCTCCTTGTATCCGTGATCTTTGCTTAGTTAGAATAGAGGGGATTGAATAGACTAACACGGATGAAGGTTTGGTTGCAAACTCTCAGGCGGAACAAACATACCAGCAGGTAGGTAGTACACCTTCAAACCCTCAGCATAAGAGGTGATCGAAATACGAGCGTTGCTGTCGTGTCTTAGTTCATTTTTTAATCATCATCATCATCATCGACAGCATGACATCAGTGTTCAACACTGATGCTTCACTGCCGTACAACCATGATTTATTTGAAAGCCTTGTTGTAAAGAAAAGAGTAAATGTGGACGGGGAAGGGACTTAATGCTAGCTTAACGCAATCCTTCCGAGGTGCTGCCTACACATCCAGGCATTCACTCAGGCAATCTGGATAGAAACTGACAACAAGAACCTCACTGACATCGGTTGGCAGCCATATTTTGTAGTGTCTCCAACCAGGCACAGTGAGGATCACGCGATCCCCACCCTGGAAGGCGAGTAGCACCGACAGCACCCAAGCGTTTCGTGATCTCCTACATACTTCTCTGCCAAGTCAAGGGTTGGCCGCCTCTCTGTTTACGCCACTTTGAGTTGGGCATGGAAAACAGCAGTCTCTTCGGCAAACTATGGTTCGGCATACGTAACACTTGTCCCAACCAACACAGCTTCTGGTGCTGGACACATTCTTCAGTGAGACGAGATGATACATAATCTACATGACGACGAGGTCGGTATGGGTGGCAAACGTTAGAACACCATCGTAATGCGGAACCGAATGAGAAACATTCTCGTAGATGTTCTTAGACTACACATGATGGGGATTGCGTCGTAATATGAGAGCTGATGTAGTCTTTAGAGTGTTTTCTTATGATGTCGAGTTTCTGTATGCTGAGTTTTTTTCACGATCGTTTAAGCACACTTCCCTTTGTTCAGGGCTGCAACCACCGATCTCGTTTCGCTTACCGTTTATTTTTATTCAGTAACTTCTTTTCTCATCTATGTTTCAGATGCCCAAAGGTGGAATAATCAAGCGTGGCTGGACGCGTCACTATATGTTTCTGACAGATATGCGGCTGTTTGTGTTTGATGTAAGTGGTTTGTCATTTTGAGTCATTTTTAAGTCATTGGTTCCGGGCAAATTCTTCCGTGAAAACTTTGAGAACCACTGCCTCGCTGTTTGGGCCTTCGAGTTAGTGACAACTGAGGAGTCCCCTACCAATACCTAGCATCCTCCCACTGCTTTGTAGGTAAGCTTTTTATTCAACCAACCTCTTTGGCCTATGCACGCGAAAAGCAGCTTATTCATCGACTTTTGACCAAACTCTTTTCAGCTCCGCTTTCCTTATTCACTTGGCTCTGAGTCACCTAAGCATTGCCGCGTGTTTAAACTCTTGTATAATAAGAACCTCCAAGTAAATCCAAAAGATATGTCCCCGACTGCAAATGTAGGTTGTCTCCCAAACACATAAAAGAACCTGGATCAGTTGCGCATCTAAACTGCTTATTGCAAACCCAGATTTCTGGAGGCTTCACTCTTCAGGTGTCTAACCATCCTCGTGCACCAGTTCGCGATATCTACGCAGTGGGATTTGCACTCAGACTTTGCACTGTGAACAGTGTGCTGGATTAGGATCCAAAAAATAGTCGTCTTTGTGCTGATCAAATGGGCGACCCAGCTGCGAGCAATGAATCTGGATGCAGAACACGTTGCTTGGTTGTTATTGCACAGCTCAGACAAGTATAAGCTTCTTCCATCTCTTTTACTTTCCGAACTCACAAAGCTTCTGGATCTGCGAGATGTCTTGACCTTTCCCACCTGACGTTTAGCTTTTACTCGAGAAGTATTGTGCACTCTAGCAGTAATAATACGTGTCCGAGTTCGGAACACCTTTGTGGTTTTGCCCAAGATTCAGTGCTTAGTGTCATATTGCATCTTTCTCGAAGGAGGTCGTCCGGCATCTTCTGGGACTGCAGATTGTACTTTCCACCAACAATCCACACGGGTTGATGGATTGTCTGAAAGGAGGCTCGGTTGTTATATTTGATTGTCTTGTTTCACGTTGGAGCCCTCGAGCTTCTCAGAGAGCAAGCATACATAATAGTGAGCGAGTCTGACGTGCATATAAGATTAGTCTGGTTTTCTGCCTGTTTCCGAGCGGGAACGTTGAAGACTGCCAAATGAACTAAACCTGGGGGGTTGTAGAATGAGACCGGTATGTCTGCATTTGTCGTTGTCCAGTCAACCGTAAATGTTTTGCCGGACGATGAACGGAATTTTCAGTCCTGTTAACAGACTGACGAGGAAAGAAGAATGATCATGTGAGAGAGGAGGGAATAGGGCGTCAATTGTGGTCTGTTTTCGCTTAACCGTCCTGCATGTGGTAAAGCGACCCAGTTGAGGCATCACCCCCCNCCCCCCCCGATGTGGCATGAGGTCATTTGTAGTTATGTAATTCATAGTTGTGTGGGATACTGCCAGGACGCCCAGGCCCAGACAGGAGGACTAGACTTAAGGTCAAAAGCCTCACCACAAGATAGGGGGTGGCTGGCACAGGATCGTCAAAGCTGTCCACACTTTTAACGATTATATCACCACGTATGTTCCAACCCCCAATCTCAAGGACCAGTTGACCAACATGGTATGAGGGGCTGTGAGTATTACATGTTCACTACTCAGAATGCCTCGGGGGGGGGGGGGGGGGCTTGTGAGCATGCATTAAAGTTCAGTCTCTTTGTGAGGGAAAGGTTGATTCATCATCAGGAGAGTCGCACTAATGAGAATCCAGTCGAGTTTTTATCTTTCATATCTTAACTTCTCCATGAGTTCTTCTATTTTTACTTTTTCAGTTGGTACACAATGTTTTTCGACTTAAACGCTGTTTTAACTCTTTCCCGGCAGTGTCTGACAATAGAGGACGTATCTCTTATTTTTGTGTGCAACGGAAGTTCAATGTACCTACCCCCATGGGCACGTAGGGCTTTTTGGTATGCTTTCGCCCGATTTCACCACGTCGATTAACTTCAGATAACTTCATCCATTCGCTATTATGCCTTCCTCACCGGTCACCGGGTTCGAACTACTCTCGTAATATTTGTTCATTGACATTCAGGTCACTGACGTTATTACTCCTCTTGTATCAAACTGTTTAGAAATGTGAACTGTTCTGGATCACCTGGACAATTCTGTTGCACCGTCCAACCGTCACTTCCCACCTGCAAATTTTAAAATGCTAGGCAGGGTTAAGCCTACACCAGCTATTCGCATTTGAACTAATGAGTGCGGTAGATCAATCCTGGCCGACTGGCAAGAGACGAAATCACTTTCGAAGTGAGCATTATGGTGTTGATGTGACGTTGTATCTGTTGGGGGCAGAATGAAGATTGTTGGCATATCATCAGTCCGGGTTTCTGCGTCCGGGATGTGAGCGCCGCGTGTTTGACTATCGGTATCTGTGGGGCATCGCGCGGATCTGACACAGTTGTAACAGAAGCAGTTGTCCACCCTCCCCCCGCTGTTGATCAGCTGGTCACTTTTCGCAGGCTACTTCGTTTGTCAGGAGGACCTTAACCACTCAGGGTCCTTTTCCCACAGCCATTTGTGGGACGGGAACAGCTTAGCAACAGACCAATGAATTTGTTGCTGGTCAACCCATTTGTGTTCACGGACGCTCGCCCGCTATACAAGGCAACAGAAGATATTAGACAGCACACCCCCAGTGGCAGTTTTGCACCAAAGGTTTTTCGTTCAGTGCGCAAGTCTCCCACTCCACGATGTATCGGACAAATAGAGTAGACAGTCGAATCTTATGTGTGGCTGTCATCTACTTCATCTACCTGTTCTCCATATGTTCTGGTATATAGTTTACACCAGAATAACTGCATTCGGTACGAGTGTCTCGTCCGTTCAACCGACTGTTTCACCTAATCGGTATTGTACACCAATCTCGGATAGCCTATAATGCTGCTGCATAAAGGCAGTCGTTGCGAAGTGCAGGGAAGTGTTAGATATGCTACGGAAAAAATCATCGTCAAGATATGTCTTGAGTAGCAGACCCAAGAAAATGCATACTCATGGAGTTTTCCTTGGTGCGAATTCTCATAACGTCCCCACTTAAACTCAAAGTTCCCACAATGTTTGATTCCATTTCGCATTTGTTACTGCCTTCTCTTCGTGTCTAAGGTGACAACGGAAAACTCCGTCAACGGAAGCTTTGGTTCATTATCACCATCCAATCCATCTTTTCCTTGGTCCCGCTACCCAAGTCCGTCAAACTCGGTGAATAACGTATCGTGTGTGTTTACATCAAACAACCCAACCCGCGTTGTCGATTTACGTAGCCCTGGGTTTTCTGTGACCCGTGTACGGGATGCCGATGTTATCCATGCTAAGCGCAATGAAATTCCCAGGATTCTGAAGGTAAGTGAAATCGTTTCCTCAATCCCAGAATGTGTGCCTTCCTGATCCCTATTGTTTGTCAATGAGTCTGCAATGGGTTTAGGTGCTTCATATGAGAGGACACACGATAGATGGATTCGGTCTGCTTGTGTGGTTGCTGGCTAAGGTCCGACACCAGTGTTCAGTTGCTATTCCGCAACAGACTATAGAATTCGCAGTTAAAAATGAAAGCTTTCTCGACAAAGTACCAATGATTGTTCGCTTAGTTTGAATTCGAGTTCCAATAGCTGTATATTAACTATCTTCGAACAGGATTTTCAGGTCACTTCAGTTTCGCTCACCTCTTGCGGTTCGTTATTTTACTCCCACTCCGTAATGCGTCGCATATCAATCGATAATTGAGGTCAAGACCAACTCGCATCACAACTCTTGTGAGATAAAATTGCACTCACTTCCTTTCGTGTCTAGTGCGGGCGTGTGAGCGCCTATCTGCCCGCAGTAATGCGTAACTCGATAGATGAAGATCGATTACTCGTCAACGACGTACTGTTCAAGCTCATTTTCTCATCACTGGAAAGATTTCATAAACACTGTACGGTATATAACTAACTCTCCTCACTTGTTTCTTATGAAAATGAGACATAGATGTACTACATTTACTCTTCAGGATGGGTTCAACAGTGTTCACCTCTGTTAGATAGGATGGGCTACTTCATTGCCCTTTTGAATAAAGTTTCGTCAATCCAGTATGCCATTTACTCGCCTCCGTCGTTGTTGATGACAAATTACCAATCTGGGCCTATGGATTTTCGAAATTTCGTTGATATCCCACTTACGTGATTGAATGAAATGCAGGTATTATGAGTGCCTACAGAGGGGACGAAAGCAAGAACACATCGTTCTCTGTACCTGGAGGAGAGGGTCTGTTTTTGTTACCTTACTCTCTAATATGCTTGAAACATCGGCACGGCTCTCAGAGCAGTCCAGGATACTGTCGCACGCTCAAGTCGTCTCTTGCATGGAAACGTGGGCTTTGGGGGCTGCACCCACGAAACCATGTTTTTTTAAGCCCGAGGACTTTCAGTACTGTTTTTATTATTTTTCACCTCCATTATTTATTTGTGTGCTAAATTGAGACAACTGTGGTTTGAATCGGATAGCGCTTTGATCCTGGGTCTTAGGTATCTTAATCTACAAACTGATCGGCATTCGATCCTACTTTATTCTTTGATCTGGTCCTCGAGAGAGGACAGTATGAGTTAGATGTATCGATATACGCGGTCGAGCTAAGGAAACTTCGAACTCCCTATGACTCGTGAAAAGTTATAAATTAAGACTGTACCGAACCGAGTTTATCCACACGACTACTTAGTTGAAACATATATACGGGTGCTCAGGAGTGAAATATACCAGCTAAAGTTAAGTGAAGCAATTTATGTTTGGACTAGTAAGCGCCCGTTTCTCAGACAGGTAATTACCTCGAAATTCGTGTGCGAAGAACCAACCTCAGGATATTATTATCGCACTAACTCCAGAATAAAGGTTACAGGTACACAGTTAATTATCTATTGTATTTTTTTCAAAACGGATTCTTCCGTTGACGACAATTGCTGGGCTTTGTCTTCCACGCGCTCGGATAGCACTTCAATGGAGCGGTAATTCAACCTTCCACAGACACCATTATCATCACATCTTATGTGGTTCGTGAGGATATGCTGAGGTAGCACAACGTCCAATCTTTACCAAACGGGCGTACCACCACATCTTGAGCTTCACGGTATCGTAACGGACCTTCCTCGGTCAAAATTAGCAAGGTAGCTAAAACGTGGATCGGGAATTACATGGCTACGTTGTATACAGAAGAATGCATCGTTAGTGATTCTCCTGCAACGACTTCCAATACCCAGTTACTCTCCACTACAAACTCTAAAAGATGTCTGACTATTGTGCATTCAGCAGCCTTTTTAACTATGGACTAGTGAAAACTATGGCCCTCAAGGTATCCTTTGATGGACTGGTCAAGTGCATTCCTTCCAACTTCTTTCATTGTATTCGCTTTTCCGACTTTTTCAGTCTTCCTGCTTTGAACCAGCACCTAAAACACACCAGGAAGATAATTGTTTGTAGTTACTTTATAAGCTCATCATGACTCCGTGTAATCTTGCCATCGTGATTGCAAATCACACCATGTTGCACTCTTTAAAAATTGCTCAGCTCAGTGAACAAGCCAACGACTCTCTAAAAATGCCTATTTACATGTTCCGGTGCAGATCACTTTGGACAACCGACTACCGGCCGCTCCATTGTTTCTGTTGTTTGATACCAGTCATCTTTGTGATCGTTGGCTAAAGGCGATTGACGACGCTGCTAGGCTTATTCAACGCAACCTTCGTAAAATTCCAGATGCCGAGGTAAGTATTCGAAGTCGATGTATTTCCTTCGTGCTCCGTATGCTTGACAGTACCCCGACTCTCCGTGAGTTGTAGTAGTTTTTCAAAGAACTAGGGGCATTACTGTTTTGTTTGAATTGTGTGGATGATGAGGTTATCTGCATTATCGGTTGGTTAAAGCGGTTTTCGCTTGTTCTACGTTCAGCAGCTGACGCCGCCATAACTGAAAAATATTTGCTACTAAAAAACTTGTTAGTAGCTCAACAGTCGTGGTGAAATGGCCATTTGTCAGTGCATTCTTTCCACCCTTGTGCTGAGCTTCCGTTACACCATGTGATTGTTTGGTAGAAGGGTGATAGGTACATCTTCCATGGTTTACTGAACCATCGCTTTGCGTTAAAGTGCATCGCATAAACTAGAAGAGGTATGATATCTTCCATCATTCCTCAATATATCAGCATTTTGAGAGTTTCTGATACTCCATTCGCTGCCTTTGACTGTCGTATTATTGCTGAACACTACCGCAAATATTTGTCCACGTGGTCTATCCAAGTAAAGGATGAAATTTAGCTGCACTAAAGAGGAACTTTTTGTTGCTCACCAATGATGTGCATTAGACATGAAATTTAGGGCATTCAAGAGTACAGTGCTACATGATCACACCGCTGTCTTCTTAGCCACTTTCGACTCGTTAGTGTCATCGCTCCGTTCACCCTGAATACCATCTTTTCTTCGACCAAACAAGTAATAATTGGAAGGTTCCAGATCCATGATGTGCGGTGGATAGAGCACATTGATCATCCTTTGCCCCAGGTCACATGTTCATTTTCAAAGATGTTTGTGGCCGCGCACTATCATGGTGTAATTCGATACTTTTCCACTTCTCGTTCTTGGTCACTTACGCAACCCGGCAGCTAGGAAAATAGGACCGCGTAACACCCCTGTGGTTCCAATGTGTTAGCTCTTCGGGTGGTGATAGTCAATATCCGAGTCATCTGAATCACTGTTTGTATTTCCCGCGAAAACGCTAACCAGCACCGGAAGTTTTTCCTTTTTTTGTTCTGAAACCCAAAACATACTTCAGCTGCATGAAGTCACACAGCAAAGTTGTTGCGCTCGCTTTGTTCATTATTTCTTACCCCGTGATATATATATATATATATATATATATATATATATATATATGGCAGGTACGCCGTTGGGGTACACCATGTGGCCAGACGACTTCGGCTACTTCGGAAGTTCGTACTGCATAAAAACAGCCTGCGATCTGCACACAGCTGAAGCAATCGTTCCCCATTGTCCGTGTGTACCGAGTCCAGTCCATGTCGACCTCACAATTGAGTCTCAGATGAACTGAGCCTGCCTACTTGCGCATTCATATNTACAGTCAGTTGGGGCATAGGCAGACACGATAAACAGACATCTATCAACTTGCCGCTTGTGAGACTCCTTCACAGACGTTGCCAGACGAACCGCACAGAGGCGACTATCAACAGGTATCCAGTCAAGTAAGGATACTCCCGCCCGGTGACTTAGGATGACATCAACCCCCGCACATCCTGCCGGTGCAGCCTCTAGATCACCAGAGGTGCGCAGCCGGAAGCGAGTGGAGACTGACGGGGCGGTCAACTCAATCACTGTGCTTGCATCTTGATTTCTCGTTTCTGAGACACAGCATACGTCAATGCCAAGCGAGTCCAGTGTGAGTGCAAGAGCAGCTTGTTGTCTTGCTTGCTTCAAAGTGCAAACATTGAACGCGGCCAGATAGAGTGGGTGTCGAGGCGTGAAAATTTATTTTGAGATACCTGAGGATGTCGACGCCATGTGACAAGCAGATGCTGCACGCAAAACCGATGCATGACGAACGGAGTCATCAGTCCAAATTGCTGGGCCTACAAAGAAACAGTTAATAATGGGGTGGGGTGGGTAGAAAAAGTATGTGAAAGAGAAAGGAGGGAGGCGTCAAAAGTAGCCTTTTTTCGCTTATCCGCCTGACTCTATACACCAAGTACGGTGACCCAGCTAGTGACACCACACGACGGCCGATGTGGCACGACAGTATTGTTAGTTCTAAGTGTCGTAGTTGTACGTGGACTGGGATACTACCAGGGCGCCCACACCTAGACAGGAGGCCATTTAGGGTCCCCAACCAAGGCCTATGGCTCAAAAGCCTAACCGTAAGGCAGAGGTGTTTGGCGGGAAATGCAAATGCATTACCGTTTCTACGGAACAAGGCACCATAAGTTCCAACCCGGAGGGCCAGGAGATTGTTTGTCTGGTTATTGACTAATCTGGTATGAGAGACCCTGTGAGTGTCGCAGAGACACCCCCAGTATGTCTCAATAGATAGCTGGGATGCGCAACCGTCACTCCACGGTAAGGTCCAGTCTCTTCGTGACGGGAATCTTAACAAAATAATGCTTCATCACCGTCAGTCGGCGGAAGCAGTTAGTAAGTAGGTAGTTGAAAGTTCACTGTTTCTACGATTTGCGCCTTCTTGTATCTTGTGCTTAGTCGAGTCCAGTGAAGAAGTGCTAGCTGGTTGGGACAGTCTACCAGGAACGTTTGTACTGTTACTGGTTTACCAATCGACTAGTGCGATTAAACCACCAATGTAGCATTTCTATTGTAATGTGTCTTCTGGAGCGAATCGATCATTTGGAGGATCACTAAGTTCGGAGAATGCAGTAGAGAAAGTTCGTTTGTCAAACCCGTCTCCCACATGGTACATTTATGATGTGACATTGTTTGTTGATTGGGAAAACTAGGTCTACACTGTTATTTGAGGGAGATCGGTAAGCTATCCAGTATGCATGGTCCAGTCTCCACATATTAACTGGCTTTATTTATGCAAGGACACACTTAACGATTCTTGCATTTTTGTTTCAGTGCATCCAACTCCAGGATGTTTGTGATTCTTCAGCACTTTTGCTGAAGCAGATTCGCTGTGCTTGTGTTCTCGGTAGGTCACAGTGCTTCCTGCTTTTATTCGAATGAGCCTACTCGGTAGCCTACCATGAAGAATCTTACCGCACGTGCATTTTCCTCACATTTCCCTTAGATGAACACCGTGTGCTGATTGGCTCGGACGAGGGCTTACATGTGGTGGACGTAAAACATGGAAGTAAGTCAATCGTGTCTTCGCCTGTGCCCTTAATTTTTTTCATCAAATCTGTTCTCGTGACCCGATCTTCCTGATATTTGGCGGCCCGCTCCCCCCTGATACTTCGCAAATAGTTTTTTTAAAGTAGATATAAGGAAGATACTTCAATTAAATGCACACACATGTACTCCATGTAGGACATTCTGAGCTTATCTGGAGGTAATTTGCGAGTCATTTTCTTTTTGAGCAGGTCATTGACTAAATTATATTCTTATTTCTTTGAGTTTTGCCTCATCGAAACCCTTCCTGTGGATACATAATGAAAGAAATCTGTTCACTTTCAGCAATCATTCGTCGAGGGGACAAAAAACCTGTCTTTCAAATTGAAGCTTTGAACGAGGAGCTCCAACTGGTGGTTGTTATTCAAGGTTTGTGTTGTAATATCCCTTCTTTTTACCTTGTTAATTCCTGTAAATCCGCATTGACCAGTACTTTTTATGTAAATAAAATATAGAACCATAGTTTTTCTCGATAGTTTTAAGAACCTAGACAGTGAACATCATCCCTGACTTATATTCTTGTCCCAACTAAGCATGCTATCATACGGCTTTACATGCACCTCATGCTATGAAATCTCCGTATCCGCAGTTACGATGTCCCTGAGCTCTCTTCGTCTGTAATGGCTCCATCTTCGCAAAGACGTTCACTTGCTTCCATACATGGTAACGTGTTATACTTTTGTTTTATCTAAAAAATTTTCCTTGCTTATCCTGGCAGAAACGTAGTAAATTTACTTCTTCAACACAGCTCATTTCGAGGAGTATTTTTCTACCTCGCGCGGCTTCCAGGTTTTGCTCCATGTCTTTTCCTTGCTCGTGATTCCATTCCGACTAGTCTTACTGATGTGTGTGATTTGCATCCAAGTGCTATTTTCGTTTTTTCGCTGTTTAACCTTTTCTAGAGAAAACTAGACGTCTTAAACTACTACTTTTGGCAACCATCGAAGGAATTAGTTCTGAACAGATCAAAGTTGCCGACCCGAAAACCTGTTCTCAATTCGTCTGCGGGATGAGCCGATCCAACACGGTATGTCTCCTTTGTGCTGCTGGGCGTAGATCCGTCTGGGTGTACGAAATTGCGCGAGTTCGCAGTCGTCATCGTCGTGTTCGAGAAATCCTGTTTCCAGACAACGTGCAGGCAGTCAGTATTGTTCGCGGTGGCAATTGGTTGTGTGTTGGTTGTCCAAGCTACTTTGCCCTCTATCACATCTGGTCTGAAGGTCCAGCTCAAGGTAATCACCTGATTCGTCAGTGGGAAACATCTGTGCTTCAGTGCCATTATCTTTTTTCGACGTATTTCATAAACCCTAACATACCGTCTAATTCACATAAACTGTTGACTTTTGTCGCCTTATTGCCACGAGTAGATGGGAAAATATGATTTTCTAACAAAAAAACAATCATTCATGCCTGACTTTGACAATCGCTAGCTTAGGCTTCGTCGCATAAGATATTTAGCTGTCCTGTCTGCATCTATAATCTCAATATAACTCGGAACTCGTGGAACGTCTCAGCATGTCTAGCGAAAGGAGATGAGAACGCCTGTAATTCAATGATCGAGTTGCATCCGTTGAGATGTCATTTAACTTCACATTCTATTGGAAGCTCACCAATCTATGATGGCTTTGAGGTCAAATGCCTGAATAATTCAGTCAGCTTGAACGGGGGTAACATTTTCGCAATTGTGACGTCCACATTTAAGAGCCAAACCCCACGAGGATTGTGTGGACTCTGTCCTGATGTGTAGTTGGCACAAACGACACTTCTTAGTCGTCTTAGTCCCGCTGAATCACATGGTTATAGACAAATCCGCGGTCTATATCCTCTTTTATGTACTTCCCATTTTTTCACTTATCCTATTCGAGAGGTATAACGTAGGAATCAGGTAGCATTTACGTATCCTTCTCACTGGATTATCCATACTAGAAGTTTACTTACCTGACTATCGCTCCTATCCTTAAAGCTGTCGGTGTTCTTTTCCGTCGTCTTTGCCACAGACCATAATTACCTATAATCAGGTGCAGCTACTTGTGAACGGTTCGTTCTCCCACCACTATCCACGTTTTCAACCATAAAACATGCTTTTCCAACCCGAACTACCTCATCTCGTTCCACTTTCTTTAGCTCTGCTGCGCACGGACTTGGTGGATTTGGACCCGACCTTCGCCTTCTTCCAGCAGAATGCGTTTGATGCATACATGGGGATTCAGGTGGACGATAATGAATTCCTGTTGATATTTGAAAGTAAGTTTCTGTTTCCCGTCACCAGTACTGCTCTTGCAGCGACAATAATGAAAATTTGATTCCGCTGCTCGCAGTTTCCGTAGTATGGATGCACAGTACGTCTCCCTTCGTTCATTTAACCTGCTTGTGGGTTTTATGGTTCCCTTAGAATTGTCAAACAGCGCCCAGGACTGGGTGCCTATACCAAGTAGCCTTTGTTTCCTCATCCTACATTTTCACTCAGTCCTCCCTTTTCGAGATCCCCGGACTCCTATTTTGGACAGTACCTTCGTTTTTAAGTATATGTATTCATAAATCGTCACCGGGGTAGTCGGGGAAACAAGTTCTGTGGGCGAAGAGGTTAGTGCTTCCCGTGGGATTCAGTAGCTCTACCTCTTTTTAGGCGTATTGTGTGTCTAACAAAATATCAGGAAAATGGAGATTGTGCACATTGCCTGTTTGTTTGTCAGGCAGTGCGTATTGAACGTACATTCGTGACTGCCGCTGTGTAAACACCGCTCAGGAGTGACGAAAGCCCAAAGATACCACTTATGTTATAACAGTGTGTTTATCAAACAGACTATCTTTTAGTGATATAGGACCTGATCTATTGATTTGATTCGGTTAACGAACGATAGGTGAACAATTTTGATACTTTGTCTGTCATTTTTAGGTCATCGGTGGTACTAACTAATAGGCAACTGTCCTGCGGGTTACATAGCAATACGTTTGGGCTTCAATGTACGTTAACCAGCTTTCAGAACTGTCGTCTGCTGAAGATATCCGATCGAACAGAGCTGCGCGAACGTGTTCGTACACAGAAAGGATGACGTTTTGATCATTGCCTAAGCCGAGGGATAACCCCCGTGCACTTGTTAATTGTGCACTTGTTAATTGGTCTCGAAGGCAGGTAGTACAATCTCTCAACTAACTACGCTTAGTTAACCACCCATTTTGTCTACTCACATTCGTATCACTCTCGTTTGAACAGTATTCCTTTTCGCCCTAATTCGGTCAAACCATACCAAAAGGAGGAAGCACTGAACTCTGGGTTCCGTTATTGATACAGGTCATTAGCCCTGCATATCCTTATTCGTACTGGAGTTGAATAAGACGAGCATCTAACCACTACTTCACCAGAGCACATTGAGTGTACCTGAGTTATTACGTCTGAACAGGCGAACATGTCCGTGTCTGACCAATGTAAAGGTTTGCCTGATGACCTTATATGTTCACGTGTTACAGTACAGACTTACGGACTCCATGTTGCAATCCAGCTCTGCTGTCTCCCGATTTGTTTGAGATCATAGGCTCATTTCTTGTGCAGCATCCATTTACCCTCTGTTGTGTTCTGCTAATCTACTGCCATCCCAGCCGTAGTTTGATCTCGGACCATGTGCCCAATATGTTGGGTTAGTAACCGGCTACCTTGACGACCGGAGCAACGTGCGTTCGTAGCTATCTGTTTCATCATCGATCGACCCGTGTATTTATGTACGCATTCAGGTAAGAGCGTTCTCCATGCGTTTATCAGGGTGACTGTTCTGTATCTAGTGTCACCCAATCTGGTTCCCCATAGGAACGTGCAGGCTAGCCTTGTGTCATTGGTTCACGGAATTTTTGAACAATGGAATAGGAATGTCAACTGGATCCCCCAAAGGTGTTCTAATTGGAAGGGAAGATCCAAGGTGACTAGGGTTAAAGCTTTTATGTGCATAAGGAGAATAGGGTTACTGAGACCACGACGACATGAAGCTCAAATGCGAAACTGAACGCTTCTGGTTAGTATTAACTCATATTCCCTTGAGGTATTTGATAGTAAGTGAGTTCTGTTAATCAAAGTTCTAAAACGTCGCCCGTTTGTGCTTAGTTCAGCATCCACTTAATTGACCTAGTTATGTGAATCTTCTGGAATGGTGAAGACATTCACTGTCGTTTGCATTTCGGTTCCACGTATGAAAAAGGCCGTCCTACAAGTGGTTCTTTTGTATGTATCTACCATCTTTGTGCAATACCCGTGCCCATAGTTGATATCTCAACACAAACGTGTACGTCTGTGTTAGATCTCTTGAAAGTGAATACTTCCAAAGAAAGAACACTACTCCCCTGTCCTGTTTTCCCATAGGGGACAGTAAGACTCATATTTTGGTATGACCGGATACGCCTGTTGGTAGCGGTAAAAGCTCATTCCTTCTCAGAATTCTCTATCTGTCCTGTCACAGTTCGCACAACCAATCTGAACGATATCTGTAGTTATGCCATCTTTTTCAATACCTCATCCACGCCCTTGTAACTTCGTCCATTCTACGACTTACTGTCAGCCGAATGTATGTAACCTATATTTTCCACTGGTTACTTTTTGTCCTCACTTGTCTTGCTACAGGTTCGTGAAATTCATTCTCCGAACAAAGGAAAGACGTTATTTTCATATCATGAATCACTCCACTCTTTTTGTGCCTCTATAGACTGCGGAATTTACGTGAATACTAGTCGTCAGCGCACTCGCACCGACAATCTTATGTGGCCAGCTAAATTGATTTCAACAAGCCCGTTTGCTTTCACCTGGCCCTATCTGTACGTCTTCACTGAAGTTGGGCTCGTCGTATTCAATATCACCTCTGGATTATGGGTTGCGTCGCTTTGTGGACGTCAAGTGCGCCCACTCAGTTCCGATGCACATCTTTGTCTCGTTCAGACAGTTGTAACACCGTCACCACACACCGGACACACGAACATGGCCACATCGGACGCGTCGCCCAGTTCGAAACTCTCCCCGCCCTCCGAATCGAGTTCCGCCCAAAATGCTCAGCGCCTAGTTTATCTCAAGCCCCCAACGAACTGCGATTCTCCACCACACGAAACCCTTTCAGCATCACAGCCGAAACTTCTAGATTTACCAGAGTCCATCGGATTGAATCCATATGCTCCTTTGATGGTATGTCAGTTGCCATTTGGTTGTCTGTTTTACCTTCATTTGTCATCAGATCAGACTGTATTCCAACTTCTTACCATTTCAGAAACCCAACCGCTCCACAACTCAACCGGTTGATGGCGATGGTGTCAGTACGGAACAGCCAGCTCCCACTGTTGACAGATTCTCACGTTTCCGTCCTAATACTCGTCACTCTGGTTTCTATACGCAAAATGCCCCTCCTTCCAACAGACTTGCATCCCTGATCTCAGGTCCTTCGGATTTTCAGCATGTAGTTCACTGGGGTCCCTACTCAAGTGGAGCGTTTATCGACCTCGGTCCAGCTCCTGGACAACCTCAACCAACTGAGGCTGACCGCATTGCAAGGTTAAAATCAGTCATTGAAGAAAGATATAGCCGCAATCGCGAAAGTAGCCTAGGTAACACAACACGGAGCCCACCCCTCAGCATGTTGACCGGTTTCTCCTCTCGTCCTTCAGGATCTCTTCAGATGCAACAGAATCCTCAACAAGAAGATGTAAGTATCAGCCATTTTATTAACCAATGCTTTACTCGTTCCAGCGAGATTGCTCTATTTCCCTTATCTTCCCTTCTTTACCAGACATGTGATTTGTTGGCTACCGATACTTTGGTTGTGTTCGTGTGCTCTTACTTAATCCGACAGGCTCCCTCAGAGGACAAGCTCTGAGGAGGTTTCTCTATCCCTGGTGATTTTACGGCGGAATGATTTGGACAACTAACTTATCAGCAAGGAGCATTGAAAGCATCATCGCCATCAGCTGTAGCCGTGTTCAGACTACCACGGCATGAATGTTTCAATTCTCCATGCCTCCTCCAGAATGGCGCAAACCGCGATGTGGACAACATGTAACTTGGAAGAAGGGTGTGAAAGAGAGTACGAAGAGTTTGGGTGTGTTTGATTAGGTACGCCTTCCAGGATGCCGTCCCCGTGTCTCCTCCTGTGGTCGACTTCAGACACTGCAAGAAATGACGGCTTATTGATGTCAGTGGCGTTGGTGCTGTCGGTTTCTTTTCAGATTTGCTGACTGAACGCTTGGACTTGCAGGCATCTCAGGATGCTTGTGGTGGGCCGGATTTAGGTTTCTTTTCTCACTCACCTTTTTTCCATTTTAAAGCTTGAAATATAATTAGGTAAACTTTGGTGAGTCATGTGTCAACACCATTGTCGCTGTCTCTGACGGGGATGAATGTTTCACATGATGGCTACACTTTGGTGGCTTCGACATACAAATGCAATGATATTGGCGCGCTGGTTGTAAGCACATTTTACTCTTGTTTGCGGGATGGTAGAGTTACTTTGTATGGAATGCAGTGAGCCGTAAACATGAGCGCTACTGGGCACGGACCTTGGCTATGACTGTAGAAGATACTTCTGGTTTCTTGTCATCCAGCTCGTTAAATTTCGGCCGAAGCCAGCGCCCATTACATTAATTCCCTCAGCTCCAACTGTGTCACAATGCGTCAACCTATGTCGCTGTTTTGTTATTTGTGTTTGAAAATTAGTGTGCCATCGAGAACCTCAAAACGTCCGTTAGTTTTTCGTTTCCGATGCCGCTGCTTTTGAAATCAACAATTAGGTGGTACTTATTTCTGAGGAAAGATCTTCGGCAGTGTGTATCCTACATTTCAGCTAAGTGTGAAAGGAAGAAGGCCAACTGAACAGTTACAGACTATTGGACAGGGAAGCAAAATTCTCATATGAATCTTGTTCACAAAAACTGAATATCCATATTCTCTTTGAACGCGTCTTTCTGAACTTTCCTGGATATTCATTGACTGTTGATCAAATCGAAGCATAGCGACTCCACAAATTCCGCAGTAGATCTCACTTTTCAAGAGACCCAAAGCGAATTCACAAAACATACCACTCGCATGCCTCCCCCATCACCGTTACAAGTGTACTGACTACTTCGGAGCGATCTCACTGTGTTGACCAGACTCCCTACTGGGATTCTGAATATTTCAATTTCGTCGGTAGTGCTTCAGATTTTCCGGCTAATATGTGGTAAACGCCTGGTAATTGTCATGGTTGGAAAATCTCAGTTCATGACCTTTCGTGGACTTTTGTGAAACAGTAGTGGCTTCTGTGAATCAGAAGATGGCTCCTCCCCCAGCATGCGCATTCCCCAGTAAATGGCTAATTTTGTCCAGTCGTTTCGTTGAACTACCGGGGTATTCGTATTTCGAATAGCGTAACACATGAGCAATAAATAATCCGGTGTTGGAAGCACCCAGTAAGGGTAACCTTGCTTGTTTTTGTGACTATTTACCGTTTCTTACTGTTATGGTCAGTGGCTGCGAATTTGGCCGATATTATGAGCTGCCAACTGGGTTTCAAAATAGCCATTTATGAGAATAGTTACATGGTTGTTTTGTGCGTTTTTTTCTTTTGTGGCTACAATGTTGTTTTCGACTCCCCAATGATGCTGAACTTCACAACGTATATTTTATCCACTAACTGCTATCGTCCTTCATTTAATCTTGACAAGATGCCGGTGGCTAGCTAACTTGGGCTAATTGAATGTCATTCGTACATTTACTAGCTTGTTCGCGGTTCCTCGCCTATTTCTTGTTGTCTAACTCAACATAAGATGACGCTGTTAATCAAAACCTTTTTTCCACAGTGCCAGATGGCTCAAGTGGTTAGAGCGCGAATTTACTGACTGCAGTGTCCGTGGTTCGGACCTGACCTCTGCCTCTCGACTCCCCCCGTCTAGGTTTAGGCATCTTGGCAGTATCCCAGCCCTCGTGCTTCATTCGGGTGGCATGGCAGCTAGGCACTGAGAGAATGTATTTTTATTACAGTACAACTAAGAACTGTGTCTCCGTCGAAACTAATCACGCGCCTACTTTCCTAATACGAACCATGTCAAACAGAGATAGCATACTTTTTAAGTGCTTCACAGTATTTCAGAATAATGAATTGTTTGGTATAAACGGGTGCGTGTGAACCCGGTCTCCTAGAAAATGAACCACAATGCCTGCCATTGGAGTCCCTTGACCTCGATGTTCTTCCCTAGCAAACGTTTTCGCTGTTGCAACTCTAAGTGCGATAACCTACATTGTCGAGTTGTTAGTCTATCAGTAAAATCTTCGATATCCCATTTTTCTGCTAATGTGTTGGGTGCGTGTATCTCAAACGCTTTGTGTTCAACGTGCTAGTTGTTCCTCACCTTTCAGTCGAACGCGACCACCGCAAGTAAGTTTGACCACATTTCACCCCCTGATATCCTTATCCTGTCTAGGTTTAACACTGATAGCTTCTTTTTTTCATCCCATTAACCCTGTGAATCACGCCATCCCCTCGCATGCGATCCCCTGTATGCTTGCGTTTAACAGCTGTGGTACACTTTCGTCCAAGACTAGCATGCTGTGTTGACTGGTTAGCTGCTATATTGAGCGTAGTATAGCATGCCCTGATCTAGTTTTATCTATACGTGTTATATGACGTTTTAACCAGTCCCGCCTACGGACCCACAATGCTTCAAGCACTTTGTATCACATCACGCCTAATCACGATTAAACACATCATTCGTTAGTATGTCCTCGTTCCTTCACTTTAGCTACCCATTCGATCAGCCACTCGGACGAGCATGGAAAAACATGAGACGCACAACTGTGACTCCATCGCCCCGAAACGACCACTTAAATTTTCCCACCAATGCTTACGCATACGCCCCTTAAATTTGCGACCTCCATTGCACAACTTTCCATTTGACCTCGGTGACACAGACGCCAGACCAATTACTCCCCCGTCGTCTACGCGAAGTCCTGAATCTCACCTCCGAAATCCGCTCGCTTTCACAGATCGGCCTTGTGATGGCGCTGATCGTCCCAGTTTCGAATCCCTACCTTCCCTCAATTTGTGCGCTTCTTCCAGCATCGAAGACACTATGATGACACTGTTTTCGCAAGTAGGTGTTTTGTCATTTTTCCTGTAGATTTTCCTGTTGCACACCCGCGATCTCGGCTTGTGTGCAACTATACATTATCATTCAAGGAAAAGTTAGGCTTTTATCGAATACTAATGCGCACAATAATTTCGGATGAAAAACAGTCGAGTTCTGCGGGTTCTTCGATCTCAAGCAACCGGAGTGTGTTTCTGTCATACCGGGACAAAGTTTTTCACTTCATCTATTAGCGATAAGTGTCTGTTCCGGTTTCGCTGTTTTATCTGACTATTTGTGCCGTCACGCTTTCCATCCGTCTCGAGCGATCGTGTTAAAGCTTCTGTTATTTGATCAAACAACGGTCTCTCATTCAGATGGTCATTTACTGTTTGTGAGGTAACGTACATGTAAGGATATGTATGCACTAATTCTTCGACCTTGTTAATGTCACTATTACATAAGACCGCTCAGTCCATTCCTTCCGGTATTTTTCCTTTGCTGGAGTAGCTACATGAATGGTGAAAATAAACTGTTTGTAGTGGCACATAATGATTTAGTGCCTTTGGCCCTGATACCAAGGAAAAGATAGTCTATTGATCTCTCCACCTAACATAACACGTAATATGAACTAAAAAGTGTGGTACCCAACGCTCTGTTCTGTAAGGAAGATCTGGAGACCATCAGGAAGTTTCATAATCTTTCTTTGTCTTACATGCTTATAGAGCATCACCGTAATCATCGCTCACAATGTTCCGATTAATGAACTAGACAGGAACTGCGTTCGCACCACAATTCCTGTTAAAACTTTATTCTGTATGTAAGCAGATATTTTTGTACACACTTTTTGTACCCAACTTTGCTCGTCGTATCATTGATTCTTCTAGCTACGATTCTTTTTTTACAACAGCTACAATCACAACCTGATACCCAACCAACAAGCCTGAGCGACATCCCCCCGATTGATAAGGACCCTTCTACACAGATTTCCTTTGAATGACCGCAATCCAGATAAAGGAAACCACGCTCATTATGTCCGGTGCTGTTCTGCCATTGCCAAACGACTAGTTTCCAATCTGTCCCGAAGGAACGCTTGTACATCTTGAAGTCGTTTGCATTGCATATGCACATGCTACGGTTCTTTCTCGTATATACCAGATATCTTTATATGACATTCTATATCTCTTCTCCATACTGCCTTCTGGCGTAGTACCGTTTCTAAAATCCTTTGTGCAGAGTGATATTGTTTTTTCTTTTGACAAACGACTATCTCAGCAACCTGTCCAGCACCAATTTTGAACCCCACCTATAATTCTACCGTGGAAATGGGAATTAGGTAAAAAACCCGCTTTCGTTGTACATTCGTTTCTATGTTTTATTCCTTGTTTCCTTTTTTGTCCAGTTCTTCTAGCAGATTTTCTTCCACACTGACCCCATTGATTCATGCATTTTATCACCGTAGTTCATTGCTGTTTCTTAGCTACCCATTACTTCGAGACTTCCGTAGAGCCCCTTGTAGTTTCCTCACTAGGCAATTATGTTGGGTTGTATTTTAGAACGGAACCTCATACATATCCTAACTTTATCTCGCCCAATTTCGCCACCTTTTGCTCCCCGACAATTCCGGAGCAGCCTAATTCCTTAGTCTGAACACAGCCCAGGGTTGGTCCTTCAAGTCATTCGCTTTAGAGTATATAAATGTAACTAGGACACGTTATTCGAAACTACGTAATCCTACAAACCGTGCTGTGAATTCTCCCTACTTGTAAGAAATTCCCAGGTCTTTAGGTCAACGATTCGCTACTGGGCTTCAGAAAAGTGCCACTCTCACATCGATTCCCGTGTGTACTTTTTTCCTTCCTAGAGTATCAGTAACTCTTCATTGCCATCATTTCCTATTAGTTCTCGCTGCAAGAAAACTAACCCTTTGGTTGTGCCAAAGGATGGAGATGGATAAGGCACGCAGGCTGTTGCTCAAGCAGGTGGCCAACTTGTACGTGGGTCTGGGTTACCTGATAATAATTGTCCTTGCATGTTTCTGCGGACCTTATCGGCTTAAGAAAGGTCGGTCCTAAGGTCCGCACATTGGCAAACATAGTTCAACCAAACAGCTCCATGCCCGTGCGTCAAAGCTGTCGCCTTCAAGGCATGGCTTCAGTTTCTCGTCTATTCAAACAGCTAGGCTGATTCAACACCAACTGACTGATTATGCAATCGCCTGTAATAATTATCTGTTTTCCGGTGACCTAAACTATGACAGCTGGAACCAGCCTAACTTTGGTATATATTTTATGGTTGAACTAAACTCACTGATTTCACGATCAACTTCGTTGTCTTATTTGTGTAACTCCTCCGTACTGAAGTGTTGCGAAGCCGTAATGAAGTCACTACAAACGTGGTGCAAAAATTAGCATATTTTAGAGTACGCGGCATTCTGTTTTAGACGCCGGAAATGTGTAGTATCTTTGCATACTTTCTGTATTGCGCGGACCATTTAATTCCTGATTATCCATTACTTTTGGCCAGTCCACACATGTCTGCACACTAGTCATCAGGCTGTTTTCCAATAAGCATTTGTATCTGCTTGCAGGATAGTGTGGCAAACATGCAAGAGAAGTGGTGATCTCGTCCAGTAACCAAGGCTAGAGAATTAGATAAGTTCAAAATGTCGTTCTACTCGACAACTGTTCAGGTGTATGTACTGGTCGTAGGTATTTTGTCTGCTTCAGGTTCAGAACTGAGTGTACGCAGCACAGGGTAGAACTGTCGTCATCTTCCCCGCGGATTATGGTTCCGCCAGTTAAAACAGAAACAGGAAATATGGAAGTCACAGAGTCCGAGGTGTGGTCGAATGCATTGTGCGCGGTGAGTCTAGGTCGGCTACTTTGGTATAAATCATCAAACACTAACCGTCGATCGTTTAGTTCGTCAGTGTATGCAGAAGTTAGCCTGTCTTAGTGCAGCCACCTATATCCGAAACACTGCTACCGGTGAAAGGAAGGCCTTCGCTGCGGAGTTGTTTATTCGGAAATGCCAACTGACCGGTTACAGACCATTGAACAGGGAAGGAAAACTCTAATCTGCATCTTAGTTACAAAAACTGGACACAGATCTTCTCCCGAACGAGTCTTCTTGAACTTTCCTGGAGATTCATTGACTCCAATCATTCGTCGGTCAAATCCAGGCAAATGTTACAAAGTGGCCCCGCGAATTCCGCAACGGAATTCCCTTTTTCAATCGACGCAAAACGAAACTCTACGAACAACACATACTACTCGCGTGCCTCCCGATCAGTAGCACCACCGTTACGTACAATATGTACCAGCACAAGTAACGTCACTGCTTGCCAACAAAGGTAATTCGGATCGGTAATTGATTTTTCCAGTTGTGCCGTATAGTTTGCTAGCAGCGGCACCTCGATTCCGGTCCACCGTAAAATGCGCCAGACTACGTTCGTGGAGCAAATTGGCGAGAAAACTTCTATTGCCGTTTCAATTATCCCGCGCAGCGAATTGGTTTTTCGCAACTGACTTTACCCTCTGTCTGGACACTAAAGTTTCAACGCAAAGCTGGATTGTGCTTCACAATGTTCATAGAGGTAATTCCATGGCAGTTCATTTAGGAATAAAGCGTTAATTTGGTGCGGAATATCATCAAAATTAGCCAAGCCAAACTTTCCACGCCATTGTAACAGAGAAAGACGTCTTCTTCAATTCGTTTTATCTGGAAGAATAAACATATCTCTGGAACGGGAAAACACTGAAGAACAACGGAATTCGAATTGCGAAAGACAGCCGAGATTAAACTTTTGACTTCCTCATAGGAAAGCTCTGGTCGGCCGAACGTTTTGCGTGAGCAGACTCAACTGATCTGCGAAACAAAAACAGCACGATAAGAATGTAATCACTCGTTTACGATACGCGACCAGGAAAGCAAATACGAATCAGAGGAAAACAACGATCTTTTGCAAACTGTCACGCGCTTGATGACTTTCCATCACAATCAACTGCGGTAGTCTGAAAACAACCAATTCTGACCATAAGGTTGCTGAAAAGTCTTCGAAAGCCCACGACCGATTTCGCCCTTATTGGGGCTCTAGAGGTAGGCGCAGTACCCGAGTTCTACTTGAGACCAAATTGTACGAAATTAGCGCAATACCCTCATTTGCAAACAAATTTGGTTTTCCGGGGGACTCATTTGTGATCCAGCTGAATCAATCGTTTATGACGAGTAGTGTATCACGCCTATACACCTATCTCAATATCTCGAATATCGTAAAAATTGAAACATGAGGCGGCCTGGTGCAACATTTTCAGTTGCTTAAAAACATCACAAACGAGAGATTCAGTTGGGTTACAAGTTAGTCTCTCGAGAAACCAAATTTGTTTGTAAATAAGTGTATTTCGCTAACCACTTCTGATCATCACCACTGATTTATTGACAGGAACAGTCGAGATCAATCTGCAGCGGGTTTCTCTCCGCAAGTGTTTGAACCGGCCGCCAAGTTACCAAATATAAATTTGTCACGGGGTGCATGAATTCCGTGTTTGTCAGCCGATAAGTTGTTCATTTCTCAGCTTCTTACTACGCTTACGTCCAAAAACTGCGTAGCGATTCTGGTAAAGTTCAATCCCGTCACGAATAAAATACCAAAACAGGTAATGTTACAGGAGAAGTAATATTTTCACGCAGGAGTGTTGGAACGAATTGGACATTCATTAGTTTGAACCGAGCGACATGGCCCAACAAACATGACCAAACGAATAAAGTTAATCAACCGACTCAACGTAAATGATAGAAGGATCCAGTAAGCCAGCATCGAAATCGATGCATCTCTAAGCGACTTATCATCTGGCTAGTTTATGTGATTGTGTCATTCGACTAGCTAATACTAAGCCGAGTGACAAAATAGGCATACTCAAACAACCAATCAGTCATTTGGTCACAAGTGAGTTGGTCGACAAGATGGGCAAGCAAAGTACAAAATGTCAAGGCAACCACGTCAAGAATCCTGAATCAGGGAGATAACGTGAAGATAACATTTTTATGTAATCCTTACCACCCAATGAATCAAAAATCAAGTTGTCCGCTACATACCATGTACCATGGGTACAGTGGATAAAGCGGGCATAGTTTTGATATAGTTTAGATCACCGCAGAGTGGGAGAGTATGGGAAATAAAACCAATTGTTGGAAGTGATGGCATGCTCGGTTAGTTTGAGAACTGGGTAGCCATGCATTCAAGGCGATTGCTTTGATGGACGAGCACCACTGACTTCACAATTGGGCCATTTCTACCGGTTGCTTAACCATTAGTGAATTGAGTTCAAGGATCCCCATTGGGTGAGACAGCCATTGTCCATCCGACTCAGTTTACTAGTTAATGCCTTCATGCTTCGTTCCCAGGTCATACACTGTCAAACTCTCAGTCGCTTCTTGGTTAGTACAGGGCCAGGCGAAAAGGGTTCTGCGAGGCAGACTGTCTTCTGTCATTCAGAGTACACGCCCAAACTAACGTAACCTATGAAGCATGAGTAATCCAACTATCACGGGAGTCTCTTCTTCCAAAAGCAATCTGTCACACCTCAGCATTGCCAATCCGATGTCCCCACCAAACCCGACCAATGCCTCAGAGACATCGATGGTAAAACAGTGGCAGCCTTCACATGTCCTCTGCGCGAAGCGGTAACGTTTCTGGTCCATAAAACGTTAAGGATATTGCTACTGCATCGTAAGCTCATTGACAGATAAACTGACGTCACTTCAGCGGCAAAGGTGTCGGAAGTTAGCAAAAGCTGCCCTGGCCCTTCAGATTCGAGAAGTTCACCGGAACTCCTACAACCACCCAGGTAAATAAATTCGTCTACCACACCGATTGGCTCGTCTGGATGTACGGAGTCTTGTAACAGCACTTCACACTTTGCAGGTGTGTGAAGCGCATGCCAAATCGTAGAGCAAAATTACTTAGGTAACCTAAAATGGTTTATGTCTTTGAAGGATCTGATCAAGCGAACGGTTATGGATAAACAAGTGAATGTGAATCGTTCAGTTTGGTCGTGGATAACCTGTAAAGTAAGGAAATCGGTGCACCTCTGGCTATCTTCCTAAAGCAGTTGATTATTCGCCGTCAACTCACGTTTGTGAGTATAAACATGTCGCTCTGGCTTTCGAGGCCTCCTCATCCGACAAAATCATGTGGAAATAACATATCTCAGTCGTACCCACTATCTGTAATCACGAATTACTCCTGATACGGGCCACAGAGCTGACCAGATTTACTGGTGCGTACAGATATCATAAACACAACCACTTTCTGGACTGCCAGTTATGTAACGAAACTTATGACTAGCAAGAGATCTGTGAGCCTAACACCGTTTTCAAAACTTGTCAAAATATGTTAACTTACCTTACTCTGTTAGTAGACGTACCATGGGCGTTACTTCTAGGTACTTGTGCGGACCGTTCAGAGCTACCAAGAAACAGTACCCAAGTTAGGCTATTGTGTAAGACGTGTAACTTAAGTATACGAATAAAGATAAAGTGCAGTTCAAGAGTAACCTCCACAGAAGGGTACAATTGAGTTACGCCGCGCCCAGTTACCACGAAAAATATGATAAACTCGGTTTGTTTCAGGCCACAAGGCAGTAATGAGTTTACGACAAAACAACTATTGACAGGGTCGAATTGGTCGATTGAAACAAACACAAATTAAATTAACTTGGTTCACCTTTCTAGATCATACAGTGCAACCATTGTAACCTACTCCAATCGGGCTGTCAGAACCTGTGCCAATCCTAACACTAAACGTTATCATCTGATGTGAGGCGTTTTAAATTGGCAGAAATGAGGAAGACCGTCCTACAAGAGTGAGTCTCAAACAACAGTTTTTTTTCAAAGTCAACCAAACTGCGAAATTCAGTTTGCACCTCTTACAGGTGTGGTTAACTGTCAACCAAACTGTTTAATTTATGTGCGGCATGGTGTTCTGAAGCCAATTATTCAGAATTCGCTCTAATAGTAAAATCTCCGAGAAGAAATTTAGCTGAACATCCTCACAGCTGTACCAAGTACAACTGCTGACTGTCAGATTGATACGCGGGATTGCAGGTTTCTTACCCGTCGACGTGATCATCTAATGTTGCGTTCTGCATTCACGTAGCTAGAAAGCCTTACGTTCTAACAAGAAAACCAGTATAAGCTTAGACGGTCCGCATAAAACACGTGACAGAGGAATCGTTTAACAGAGCTCATCAATTCCATCTGCCAGTGTTTCTCAAGGCTACGGCGCAGTCAGACGCGTCTACCGATATTCATTCCAGGATGTTAAGTCAGAAGAAACTGGTTAAGAGTTCAGCCGTGAAAAATCTTTCGTCTTTTAATTTGTCCCACCTTAGAGATGTTCAATCGTAGTTGGCAATCTTTTGTTTTTACATACTAATAGTTTCGTTCAGTAACTTATCCATTAATTATTCGAATATGTTTTATCTGCTTTCCACCCAGCTCACTGTTATTTCCCCAGATCAACCCATAAAGACGAGCCTCTACGGCCTTCATATAAGTATTTGTCTGTTTGTCGACATTCCAGAGAGCTGTCATGCTGTTCATGATGATGATGACGGTTCCAAGGAGTGACTGATTTCGCGCAAGAACATGTACGAATGGGGGTTACGTAACAAGCTGCCAAGTTGATCATTCTACGAGTTCAAGAGACCATCGAAACCCTGTGCTCCCACTTAGAAATACTGGACATAACTAGAAGATTCTCAAATGCAATAAGCTCGTAGAAAGTGTGACTCAAGTATTCGAACTGACAAAAGCAGTGCAATATCAGCTCCTCGAGAGACTCACGAAGTTCCCAAAGACCATGAAAGTACATTCAACTTGCATTCGTGGACAAGAACGAGATGATAATCGATTCTATGAAGACCCGCTTTCCTCTAAAAACTCGTGAACTTCTGTTTTTCCAACAAGGGCATACACATGAATGAAGATTGAATAAAGTAAGTGACTTGGCTTAAGGACGATTGTACGCCTGGAAAAAAACAAAATGTGATCTAATCTATAGTCGTGACAGCAGAAGTATCTGTTCGACATAATCTGATATTGGGGCGGTTGTAGTCCAGTAATCCAACAAAAGGCTAGTGGGAAAAAGCTTATCCCTCATAAATGTAGCGAACTTTTACTGTCGTGGACATGGGTACGGTGGATCTGGACCAACAGCCTCTGATGACCGAAAAGGAAAACAATAAAAGAAACGCACTCAGATGTCTGGAATGGAACGACAAGGATTTTACTAAAAAGTGAATATCTGCCGCGTTTTATCTTTAACAGAACAAGCGTGCACAGCACCGAGATGGGTGTCTGCAGAATTTCAAGGTGTTCATGACGAACCGAACTCATGTTGTAAGACGATAAGCCACGATCATTGTTATTGGACTATTCGGACAGTTTGATGTACACAGAAGTATCAATCAACTGTGATTCGGCCACTTTGATGAGGACATCCAACCAGTAGTTGGGTGGTTCAGACCTTTGGCCACACCAATGATCCTTTTTCGTCCTGTTTTGGAAACGGAATGCAAGGTTGCCAGGAATTCACAGCATGCATAAATGTACTAAATTCGGGTTTCATAATAAACAGATCACGAGTGATTTACCCCACAGATGCACTGGAAACGTCGACATTGCTATTACACTGTCAATTTTTATCACAGGTCGGTAAAAGCACTTGAAAAATTCGTACCACTAAACGGTCTAGAAAGTTTCGACGGTTCACAACAAGTAGCCTTCAACAGATTCGCTTCATCTGTTTGTTGGCTTATACAAGGATATCATGAAAAAGTACACACCTCTGGCTAGCGTCATCCTCAATGCTAATGACCTGCGGTTCACAGTTATCGAGTTAGAAAGCTAGCTTCCGGCAGCTGTACTTCGGTGACTCCGACACGGGCCTCAGGGTCAGCAGGGACCCTAAAGATACGAAGTAAGCCATCAAGGCTTACTGATGGAACCTGAAAATGAGTTTTATTTATAAAACTCATTTTATAGCAAAAGCGAGTTCAGTTAACCCAGGTGCTGTTGTGTGGGATTGGTTGTTTTGTGTGAATACGACATATTTGTCTGTATTTTTAGGGTTAACAGATTGAGAGATGAAGTCGGGAAATAAAAAAATTATGTAGGACAACTGGATGGTTTAATTTATGGTGAAACCATAAATTTCAGCAGCGTTGTGAGGGCTAAGGACGAGCCCCAGTTAATCACACCAGAGATTTTCAGACACCCCACCTCGCACCAATTAGGTGATGGAAAAGTGTCAGCATTGCGTCCTAGCGACTGACTCTACATCTCAACGTTAAGAGTCTGCTCAGGGCCAACGCCTGAAAAGTCACCTGACAACGGTTAGCCCACCAGTTATGTGAACAAAAGGCAAGTTACACATCTTCCAGTCCTACCACCGCCCGGTGCACCTGACATAGTTGTAACTGCGTTGGATTCTTCGCAAGATGTACTATTCTTAACCGCGCTGGACAAGGTACCGTTATCACGCTGGGCCGAACAACTTATCAACTACCATACCTCCTTCAGCTTGCAGGCAACGAGAAAGCGACATGTTTGGATGGTTTGACTTGATTCGCGATATTGCAGAACTAATCCTCCCTCTAAGCAGTGTTTCGGTTGGTTTTGTTGAGGAGGCCCGCAGACTTCATAATATGACTGATTTCCATGGGCCCTTCTGAACAGCATTTCCCAAAATCATGAAAAGATGGTATTCGAGAACCACTCTTATTTCGATGACCACAACAATCTTTTCATTTCCTAAAACAATAATGCAGCTAAGAAAATGTGTTGAACATTTCTCAAGTTGAAGAAAGTGACTACATTACTGCTAGATAAAGGTTTCGTTGGGCAGATGCAAGTCAAGTTGTGCATACAAAACGACTTAATAGCTACAAAAAAACTTACGAGCAAACCTCGATTGACTTTAAATTCTTGGAATGCAAAACTGAGTGTGGATAAAACCTTGCATCATTCTCAAGCCAATAACGGGCTCCTCTGGCGTTTAAAGACAATCTTTCTGGAGTGTAGAGTGCCGCGTACTGCTATACAAATTCAAACGTTAATATGGGACAGGTGCTTACCAGGAATTCTGGTCGCGGTCCAGACAATGTGTAGCATGTTTGCCATCCGATGATGCCTAGGTGGACAGCAGCCAACCGGATGTATTGCGAAAGCGTATCACACAGTCGATGAAATGAGGCATCACGATCAATATAGTATATTTCCGAGCAGCGTGAATTCAGTACGAGAACAACGCAGGAACTGGGACACTGTTCCAAAATGAACATCTTTTTCTTTAGTGACCCTTGTGAGAATCTCATAAGAATCTCAACAAATAAGTCGACATCCATCTCCTGTGCAAAATCCATGTCAGACTTAAAGGCAAAAGATGCTTCTCTGAGTGCCGAAATTCCATTTATCTGTATACGGCCGATGAGAACCTTAACATCTAGAGTGGGAAGAAATTCACGTTATTCTCTACACACCTTACCAGAATGTTTACTGTACCAGATTAGTGAGAGGCCATTTGTCGTCAAGTAGAAGTTCCGCAGCTCGTCCGGCAACTGACAGTCATTCGTTCGTTCCCACTCAATGAGAGAACCTTCATCAACTGCCTTTGGCGTTTCCACAAAAATGTCGCATACGGCAACCTTCGTTTCTTTTAAGATAGTCAACATAGAACACCTTACCCAAGTAGGATTTTAAATCATGTAGAAAGTTAATGACCATTGAGTCTTCTAGTTGAATTTCCTAATGTGCACCGAACCTCCAGGTAGTTAACATAGGAGGAATGGTCGCACTCCAAACTTCGTAGTAATGTTTCTGAACATAAATAAAATAGTATAGGCGTTATACGAACATTAACCAATAAAAAGCGGTTGGTTCCTGTGGGAATGAATGGCTTAGAAACTGAAAAACAGTCCCGACTCAAAGCCGTCACCTTGTCGTGGTGGTCGGGCTTCTGTGCACAATGACCCAGTGGGCTATACTGACTGGAATTCAGTTCATAAAGGTTCAGCAATGCTAGGAGGGCCAACGGGAGCAGCCTGACGAAGAACAGCGAGTCCCCGTACTGCGAGTAATCGTATTACGAGGCGGTCTGGAGGTAAAGTCTTACTGTCCTCTGCGATAGGAGTGTAAAGGCAGTAAGGCCTTTCCTCCAGGCGACCGGCATGTCTATATTTATGGAAGCAGAGATGTTGCCTTCCCCCGGGACTGTCCCCTCTCCCCACTTATCTTTACTAGAGCGCAGTATCGTAAATATTGTAAATCCGGGCGTTGACAGAAAAAACATCATTAGAAGAGCATTATGCCGGGGTGTTTTTTGCCACATGAAGACCATGTGCCCGCACGAACTTTATATAGAATATCAGAAGTGGCCCTGTGTTTCAGTATGCAGTTTCCACCTCCAAAGTGCAGTTTCACTTCAGTATTTTCCACCCACATTTACCTGACTGAAGCTTCAGTTCTAAGCAGCCGCATAATCCCTGACTGCAGCTTGAAAAATGGGGGCTATCGAGCACCATCTAGGCATGCGTACTATTCCCAAGTTGCATCACCTTTAGCGTCCAAAGAAAAACAAAGAGGCTTAAGAACCACGTCTACAAGACCACCGTGAAAGCGGTACTAACGTATGGATGTGAAATGACCTTACCGAATTGAAGATCTCAAGTGTCTTCAAATACTTGGTTAACGACGTCTCCGTCATATAGCAATTGTTAATTGACTGACGCACGTACATACCGAAACGATGTACAAGCAAGTACTGGTGAAAGGAGAGCCATTCCGGCGGAGTCATTCGTTAGCAAACATCAAATAAGCAGTTACAAACCATTAGACAAGAAAGTAAACGTCTCATCTGCGCGTAATCTTAACATTCTCACGCGTCGTCTTAGACTTCCATGAATACTCATTGACTATCACGCAATTGTAGATGAAAAACGCTGCAAAGCGGTTCATCAAGTTCCATAAAAAGCTTCACCTTCCATTGGAGGTAGGGCGATGTTTCGAGAAAAAACACAGGCTACTCGCATGTTTCATCAGTAGTATCCGCAGCCACACTAGTAATGAGTCGGAATCACCTGAGCTGCAGACAAGGTGCGTAAGCTTACAGTGATGAGGCATGTATCACGTGTGCCGGGCCACCGTCTATCAAAGAAAGCCGTCTTCCACCTCAAACCCTTGCTGAAGAAAGGTTTCCAGAAGATAGACCATGACGTGGCAATGCGAAATGTGGTTACCTTCAGTTCAAGCGCTGTGGGATCCTATTAGTGCTCTGATTATACATGATCAAAGAATGAGGAGATAGTATGCCCTAATAAGAGTCTATGCTGCGCAAGATGGGGTGCACCATGTATAATACAAATATAATGCAAAAAAAATTTTGATGCACAAAATAGAATAAGTCAAAAGGTGACTTATCGTTTGAGCATAACTGATAAGAGTTACTAAATGAAGGTCCGGAGGCGGGACGTGTTCGCTCTGCAGTATGACTTTTACACGCAGTCTGTGATTGTCCGTGGACCTGTCGAGTACGGCTGCTACCTGTCATGTGTGTGAGTATGTGTTTCGTCGAGATGCATGCGTATTTGTGTGCGATGCGGACATGTGCGGACATAGCCATTCCGGCTTGATAGTGGCAGAAACCAAACAGCTTGACCTGATGTGGGTCAAGGCCGTAGGCATGGTGCGTGATATAGGCGATAGCGGCTTAAAGAAGGAGTGGAAAATTGCAAGTGCACTTAGAGAAATGGGTCAGAAGTTACTTAGGCAAATGAGAGGCGCTACAGATCTACGTGATTCTCCTTGAGTAAGGTTACAAACTCTCAAGGATGTAGCACAAAGCCAACCCCATTGGTGAGCCTGGAGTCACTTCTTGTCCGGATTCACGATTGCAAGTGTCTATCCTCATGTGTTAAGCGATGTTGACTCAATAACGTTAGTGGCATCTTACCCGAGAAAGTTGCTGGTCTTGAAAGGTGAATGAAGCTTCGGCTTGGCTGCTTTTCCTAGGGATATGAGGATTAGGTAATGTCTCTACACCACCTTTTCAGTTTTCATTAGTCTTCTACCTCTATGGTTGCGTGACAGTTAGGCGCAACTTTCCAGTAATGGTGCGTTGCTGTTGATACTGACGAATTCTTTTCTCGGAAACTACACTGCTCTCCACATCATTATTTTTGGAATGAATGTCTATCGAGTATCTACCAGCTATTTGCTCACGAATTCTGTCAGAACTACTAGCAACAACAAGTTATAAACACTATTGCTCACTGTCATAAAATCATAAAAATTCATTGTGGTAAAAGGTGGAAGAGTTGGCTTAGAACTAGTCCATCAATGAACATCCGGGGTGGGACTCGTTGGTATGTGATTCGCTGGGCTGTGCTAGATCCGTTTTTTTGTGCATTGGCTTCAATCCAGTCGTCCTCCATGCTAATAGCAGTTCTCCTAATTGATTGTTTTCTGAAAGAGAATACTGCGTGGAATTGGCACGTTCATTTTGTTTGGCCCTAACGAAAGCGGTTGGTCCAGCTCCCGAGAGTCTTCTGCACGTTTGTCGAATACAATTGCACATTTTCTCATACTGTGTAAGGCATTCGAGCTAACGAGAAGAGGATGATGGCCGGAATTCAGGTCACTGTCGACTTTGTCCACCTTGTTGAGTCGACCACTTCGCTTGTCAGCAGCAGAGGGCGAGATAGTTCAAGTGGTTACAGCGCTAATTTATTGACTGCAAGGTGCATGGTTCGAACCCGACCTCTGCCTCTTGACTTTCCCTGTCTAGGCAACCTGGCAGTATCCCAGCCCTCGTGATTCCTTCGGGTGTCATGGCGGCCATGCACTGAAAGGGTGTTACAGATGAAAGATTACAGCAGCAGGATTTGCGGCGGCAGCACACACTCATGGTTAAATGGACTATCCACAATCCACCTGCAGTTGTTGAGGTATAAACCGCACTGAGGGGTCACTCCGAAAGTTGGAGCTCGCCAGTCACATCCTAAGAGGTAAGGGTTCATACGGTTATTGAGATAGGAGATATCATCCAGTTGAAGCTGCAGTCATCGCCGTCATAACCATTATCGACAGCATAAGATCAGTGTTCAACACTGATGCTTTACTGCTGTACAACCTTTATTTACCTGAAAGCCCTATGAGAAAATAAAAATGGATGGGCAGGGGACTTGGCGCTAGTCCAACACAATCATTCCGAGGTGCCCACACCTTCGAATACTCATTCAGGCGATCTGGATAGAAAGTGAAGAGAACAGCAACGTATCAATTAGGCAAAGGAAATCATGCTGGCATCATCCTGGAAGTCGAGTCAAAAACAGTACCAAGACTTTTCGCAGCCAGTTTCATGCAGCTCACTTGCACTACTATGAACTGAGCACGAAAAACAGCACCCGCTACGGCAAATGATGAGTGGGCATGCGCAATACAAACGCAAATTCTGGAAATTCCAGGAATGCTAAAATTGTGGGCCGTTTCTACGTACGTAATTGTTGCAGTACCAGGAGCAATGATTTGGTCAAACTAGCCCATACCAGACCGCAACTCCGCCAGCTATTCCCAACTAAATGCTTCACAGGCCACCATAAAGCGGCGGAGGTGAAGTGACTCCAGGAGTCTCACTGAAGAGAAGCTGACCTACCTTGTGAGCACCCCACTACAGGTAATCATGGTTACGGGGCCCTTTTGGAAAAATAGGAACTATCACTGATTTTCGTCAGTTTTGTGGGACATCCTCCTTTCCCGGATGCAAGCATACAGTCCACATGAGGACTATACCCTTGAACAATGCATCATCATTGTCAGCTGTAACAACCGCGTACTCGTCGTACACTGGTTGTAGCTGCCGCAGTTTCGTTCACCGAGGATTTGGGGGGGGTGGGTAGGTAGCTGCGCATTTCACGCGCGAGCTGGTAAGTTGGTGCATAAATCCAACCACTATCATGGTCTGTCAAGTGGGGGGTTGGGAAGGCAATAGCTTTGATGCACGAGCGCCACTGAGGGCGCGACTGGACCATGTCTGATGACGTCCCTAGCCATTGATGTGGGCTGTCACGGGGTCCCCAACCAGGAAGACGGCGGTAAACAGTGGAGCTGAGTTTGCTGGTAAATGCTTTCACACTTCGCTGCCAAGTCATTGTTTGACCGCCTTTGGCTCTCTTCCAACCTTCACATGGTTGGACAGAAAGAGCCCTTCGAGAAAGTCGGTCGACTGACATGCGCAGCAAGTGGACACAAGTCAGCGCAACCTATGCAGTGTGATC